TGAAGACGGGCCAAAACGGAGGACTTTAGAAACGATGACTCTTATAAGTCATGCAAAGCAGAAACACGATGCTACTGACACAGTTTTTGAGTTGACTAAAATATTCTGTACCATGCAACTAACACTTACCTACACTTGTAATGTGCATGTCGCCGTTTACTTTGCGACGACTCTGTCGCCGCCACAGTCCCAGCTCATTATTGGTGCATGGAAAAAATAAATCTGGTCTAATTCTTCGTCTCCATTTCTTTATTCTTTCGCCAAATCTTCTGTAACTACGGAAGAGACCATCTGCTTCATGTTTACACCGGCACGCGCATTCCCAGTGTACTTGAACGGCCAGCAGATGTGCATTTTCAGTCATTTTAATGTACGGAGATCAACTCTGAAACGCAGCTAATAGGCTACGCTGGTGTGGATAGAGACTGTATTCATGTTAATTTTCCTTTGTTAACTAAAGCGCAGTAGTGTGGATGGGCCCTGAGCCTAAGTGCTCAAACAGAAACTAACATTCACACACTGGTGGGCAATCATTCTTGCCCAAGGACACTTCAACAGGTAGCTTGGAGGAGCCGGGGATTGAACCACCAATCTTCTGATTAACAGGCAACCGCTCTACTTCCAAAGCCACATACACTCAGCATCCAACATAAGTTGTAATGATTGAGGTGTTTGTGCCTAGGGGCCCTCAGATTTGAAAAATATGCCTGATTATTCCTTGCGAGTTATTTTTCTAAGGCTATTGTTACTGAACATGCAAAACATTTAGGTTTTGTAATCCATTTAAAAGAATGATTTACCTCTATCATTTTGCAGAAATCACATTTCCAGTGATTTGCTAGGCTTTTCCACAAATAACAGCTGGGCGATCAGGCAATGGGTCTCTGATAATGGTGTTAAGGGATTCCCTAAGGGCTTTTTTCAGAAACTAACAGGTGTGAAAGTTGTGAGAGGACGCGCAGGAGAGATGAGAGGTGATTTGGTGCCAATATATTCAACAATGAGCAAGCTATTGAAATTGTTCAATTGTAATTTGCATAATTAAGAATTTAATTAATGTACTAATTTATTTTCATGTTTGTTTACAAACGTACAGGTGTGAAATGTTTGAGGGGGGTCACTAGTTATATTAGCAATGGTTTGAGATTTTTATGTTGAAAAACAAAAAAGTTATTAAAGAGTTGAAATAGCTGTGTTGCAATTTGCAGACGGTCCCTAACTCCCCCTACAGCGACAGGCGCATCTGACAAACATTCAGTGCATTGCGCTATGGACTGCGTCGTTATCTTAAGCGATTTTGAGGTGATCACAGCTGTGAAGCTTCTGCCCGAATTAGCTCTCCATTATATCCCAAAACTGGGAGAAATGGAGATTTTGACACGGAGCTATTGAATCTAACAGGCGCGAAAACCGACAAATGTTGACTATTAAACTAACTTCACCCCGGTGCGGTAATGCACCTCTTGGCTAGTTTGCCAACTGCCAATAAAAAAAAAGAATTAGTTTGAGTGAAAAAATTCAAGCCTGGCGGCGACGAGCTTGTCCACGACGTTTTGCACTGGCGACGGAGTAGCCTAGCCACATGTAGCTGTCACACGATGGTCTACTTTGGTAGGTTATCCGTGGCACTATCCACTCGCCATAACGCAGAAGCTACGCCATCACCTGACGTGCACCTCCTCAAAAATGTAACTACCCCGCAGGTACCCCGCGCTTTTAAGTAACATTTACTACACAGTATGCATGTAGACCCTACGCAGGAGTATAAATCAAGCTTACAGGCCCATTTATACTCCTGCGTAGGGTAAATGTTACTTCAAAGCACGGGGTACCTCCCGTCGACTCGGAAGCATTGCGAGGTCAACATGCGTAGCTACGCCGGTAGCCATGCATATATACTGATAAAATGCATTATATTTTTGTATTTTGAATCATTACCTGACAGCTGAATTTTGTTTCCTTTTATATAAATAAAGACATTTCCACCATAAATTGGTGCAGAATATTTCTATAGAAGTCAGTAAATTAAGTGTTTAATCCCCACTCAGATATTTCAGCATTAAATATTACTTTATTAAAATAATGTTAAAATATTTTTCTCGTCTTGTTCTCATGAACACAGAATTGTGCATCATCACACCCCTAATCTGAGCCCTTATGTCTCGACCACTTTTAAACAAAGAATGTAACATAATTATGACCGTTTCAGTTAAGGGCAGTGATGTTAGCTACTTACTCATTCAGTTGGTCCTCTATATTGTTTACCACACTTTTCTTGCTGTTTTAATACTGCGGTCGTGTTTTTTTTCGTTTCTTTTTTTTTTTTTTTTTTTTTTTTTTAATATGTGCATTTTTTCATCGTAACCCTTCTTCATTCGCTGTTACTCACTGTGTGCAAAGTATGCTGCACACGTCTTTTCCATTTCAGCATCAATAAATCTGTGATCGACCGTGTGGTCTCGCGCCCATTTATCGGAATAACTTACACATGGCTTGACATAGTCGCTCCTCCTCAGCCTAGTTTGGCCTTGTGAAATGGATAAGGCCAGGATGACCACACTAGGTTAAGCCTAGCTTTTTCTGTTATCCTGGATTTCTATAATAAATATTTAAAACTCATGCGCTAGGCTCCTGACTGTCTTCTTCCTGCCACAACCTCTGGGTCTAAATCTCTATTTGCAGATTTTGAAAAGAACATACATTCGGTTGTATTGAGGTGTAAACACGAGTTTCTTAACTACACCGAACAAAATTACAAACACTTTTGTTTTTGCCCCCATTCATCATGACCTGAACTCAAAGATCAAAGACTTTCTCTATGTACATAAAAAAGGCCTATTTCGCTCAAATATTGCTCACAAATCTGTCAAAATCAGTGAGCACTTCTCCTTTGCTGAGAAAATTCATCCACCTCACAGGAGTGGCATATCAAGATGCTGATCAGACAGCATCTGTACCTTAGGCTGACCACAATAAAAGGCCAAATGTGCAGTTAGTGTATTGGGGGGGGTCCAGGAGGGGTCTGGAAACCAGTCAGTATCTTGTGTGACCATCATTTGCCTCACACAGTGAGTTGATCAGGTTGTTGATTGTGGCCTGTGGAATGTTGGTCTACTCCTCTTCAATGGCTGTGCCAAGTTGCTGGATATTGGCAGGACCTGGAACACGCTGTCGTATACGCTGATCCAGAGCATCCCAAACATGCTCAATGGGTGACATGTCCGATGAGTATGCTGGCAAAAACTGGGATGTTTTCCACTTCCAGGAATTGTGTACAGATCCTTGCAACATGGGGCCGTGCTGTATCATGCTGGAACATGAATTGATGGATGAATGGCACAACAATGGGCCTCAGGATCTTGTCACGGTATCTCTGTACAATCAAAATGCCATCAATAAAATGCACCTGTGTTCGTTCTCCATAACACACTCCTGCTCATCCCACAACCCCACCGCCACCATGGGCTCCTCGATCCACAGCGTTGACATCAGCAAACCAATCACCCACATGACGCCATCTGCCCTGTACAGTGAAAACCGGGATTCATCCGTGTAGAGAACACCTCTCCCAAGTGCCAGACACCATCGAATGTGAGCATTTGCCCACTCAAGTCAGTAACGACGATGAACTGCAGTCAGGTCGAGAACCGACGGGGACGACGAGCATGCAGATGAGCTTCCCTGACACGGTTCCTGACAGTTTGTGCAGGAATTCTTTGGTTATGTAAACCGATTGTTGCAGCAGCTGTCCGGATGGCTGGTCTCAGACGATCTTGGAGGTGAAGATGCTGGATGTGGAGGTCCTGGGCTGGTGTGGTTTCACATGGTCTGCGGTTGTGAGGCCGGTTGAATATACTTCCAAATTCTCTGAAACGCCTTGGGAGATTGCTTATGGTAGAGAAATTAACATTAAATTCACAAAACACAGATTTTTACAGTTTTGTGAACAATATGAGAGAAACAGGCCTTTTGTGTAGATAGAGAAAGTTTTAGATCTTTGAGTTCAGCTCATGATGAATGGGGGCAATAAATGTGTTGCGTTTATAATTTTGTTCAGTGTAATTAGAGATATTGAACAAACTGATACAAACTAAACCCGAGGAGGAGGACCCAAAGTTGAACATTGAAGAACACCAACATAATCATCAATCATTTGTGGGGTTTTATGATCTATGCGAACACATTGTTTTCTGTCTGTAAGGTATGATTGTATCCATTTGATTACATTGGGTAAAAAATTTTACTTTGTTAGCTTTGTAATAAAAACCTCATGATTAACTGCATCACAGGCTTTCTTCAAATCAAGGAAGACAGCCCCAACTACACCTCCCTGGTCCAATTTAGCCTTAATGTTTTACTGTACATTGTATAATTCGTTCAGAGGTGCTAGCAGTCGTCTTATAAAGTCTATATTTTTATGTAGCACGTCATCCTGTGGCAGCTGAAACGCAAATATGCCTGTGATGCATCCCATAGGATGATGAGCAAAGCAACACTGCATAACACAAGGCACTGAGGAGATCACATAAAGCCTCCAGAGCGCCACAACAACAGAACTTGTAGCAGAGATGGCGGCAGCAGCAGCAACAAAAACAAGTCCCAGGTCCCACCCAAGTGAGAGAAAAGGAAGAGGCCTTTCATGATCACCTAATCAGAAAATATCTGGCCAGGTAATTAGCTCCTCACGTCTGGGGACGCTCCTGATGAGATGGCGGATGGTGTCCTGGGAGAGCTCCTCTTAGACCTGGATCAGGGCATAAGTGATCTCCTGGACTGTCTGTGGTGCTGCTTGGCGGCCTCGTATGCACCTTTATCCCAGAGGTTCTCAAATAGATTCAGGTCTGGGGAACGTGAGGGTCAGTCAGTGGCATCAATACCTTCGTCATCCAAGAACTGCCTACACACGCGGACCATGTGAGGCTGGGTATTGTCCTGCACCAAGAGGAACCACTGCACTAACGTTGGTCGCAGAGGATTTCAAGAGAATTTATATACACACAAACATTTTATGAGGTCAGTTTAATGTTGTCTTAACAAAAGCAGATGAACAAGAAATAAAATAACTGTAAAATTGAATAAATTCTGATTTAAACAAGAAACTATCCAATCAAAAATCAAGTCAACAATACAATGAATCTGACCAGACATCTCATTCCAACTTTCAATGGTTGAGATTCTGGTAGATACTAAGGTTCTGTCCCAAGCCCAGTAACCTCTAACCAAATAATTTGGTTCTCAACTCTAGAATGGGTATAAAAATAATGTATTATTATAGAACGTAGGTTTAGTGCATGCTCAATAAATAATTACATTCTAAATTTTGAACCCTGATCTATCTGCGCATCAACAGTTTCAGTGGCACCATAAAAGGGTTGAGGGGGGGGCAGAGTCCCATCACATCTGCATCTCCTGATGGGTTGGATGTGTTATTGTTCCCTGACGATTGGCACTCAGCTTCCTCTGACTGCAGTTTCTGCACTCCACTGTCCGTGGTATCACTGCTGTCAGCAGTCCCAGCTGCATTCTGCTGACTGTTTGTTCTGGTGCCGTCTTGACAGCTTGGTGCCTCGGTCTGAGCACAGAATCTTCCCTTCAGGTCTTTTAACATTTCTCTTGCAATCTTGGAGTCAGCAGGGGATGAGAGACATTGGTACACCTGAAGACAGAAAAAGGGCTGTTGAGGTTAATTCATACCTAATTCTGCAAGAAAATTTCCAAAAAATGTTTGTACCAATACTTTTACAAGTTCAGTGTTTACCAGGTCTGTAGTGATACATACAGCTTCCAGAAAATGCTGGACTCAACTCAAGTGCTGGTGATAAAAGCTTCACTCAGTAAGTAGGTATTACTGTAACTACTTACTGACTGAAATGCACTTGGTGTGAATGCACAGATTAGGGGTGGTTACATATTTTTACAAAATTAACTGGACACATTTTTTGTTTGCTATATGCATCCATCAGAGAAGCTCACAAGTCTTTGAGCTAGAGTCCAAGTCAAGTCTCAAGCCACTCGTGGCTATAATGAATGTTGTATCACCTGATGCGTTCAATCCAGACTGCATCGCAAGGAATTCTCTAACTGTAACCCGTTTTTCACTTAACCATGTAATGTGCAATGCAGTTAACTAAATAAAACTGTAACATTACGTGATCAACAATAAACCTGTAACATGTTTTTCACAGAGCACAACCATGTATCCTAATGAACAATGCGTCTACAACTAATGACAGCTTACAAACTACTGTAAGTCAACACACCCCAGACTGTCAAACCAGTGTAACGTTATAACTATATAAAACTATAACGTTACATGATCAACAATAAACCAGTAACCTGCAGCAGACGTTCATTTTTTTATTATATTAATATATACTACATGTTATGTAGGTGGGTTATAGGTAACGAAGGGAGGGGAATAACAGCAAGCTCATCAGACATTTCCTAAAAATAAACACTGTTCACGAGTCCGGCACCTCGAGTCCGAGTCGAGTCTGAAGTCTTCGAGGACGAGTCTCAAGTTAAGTCTGAAGTCACTGTGTGTGCGACTTAAGTCGGACTCGAGTCCTCATCTCTGGCATCCACTAGAGATCCAGATTCAGTGTATGAAATTTGATACAAAATCACCAGACGGTAGTGAAAATATATTCCTTTTTGAACAAAAACCTACTTATGGACTCATGCTGCCCTCTGCTGGAGAGATTATGTCTGCACAGGTCACTCTTTTGAGGCGACCTCACCTCACAATTTGTACAGTCTGGCTCTTCGTGTGGGCTTGTACATTCTATTGCAAGTCCGAGTTGCGGACATGGAGCTCACAGAGCAAGGCCTTCCTGGGCTTCCAGGGACTGGTCAGGCAAACTTTTGTAGCTTTAGTATTAAATGTTGTGTAGTTGCTAGTTTTGCATGTTGATCTGAATAGTTCAATCATCTCCTTTACTTTGTTATTTCTGCTACACTCATATAGCTCAAATGTAAGTGGAGGAGGAACACATTTATAACAAATTAAATAAAAAGGCATCCGATTTGCCAAATTTACAAATAGACTGAGCTCTGAGTTAGCTCCTGTAAATGATTTACTTAAAAAGAACAAAACCTGCATACCTGAGAATAAATCTAACTTTATGATCCATCCAGTCAATGTTCCATTTCTTCTACCTTTAAAACTGTTATGCTACTAATTTAGAAAACACATACACTGAGCAACTGGATTTTCCAGACACATCTTTACGTTGACTTGACAGACCAGAGACCAAATTGTTGGCTCATGAAGGCAGTAGAACTAATGGCCCAACCATGCACCAAAGGTTTTAATTCATATTTAAAATTCAATATTTTATCCGTTTACTGTAGCCAGTAAGCAACTTATTACTGTACAGCCAGTTATACCTGGACCAGATGTTTGTGCAGTTTGTTGCAGTCCAGCAACGGAAGCTCCTCTGGGAGAGACATCAACAGGTCCAACACAATAGCACTCTCTGGAAGATATTAGGGAAATTAATTAATTTAATTGCAGTGGTGGGAAATGTCTTATAAATAACTGCAGAAATATAACAGTTAGAAATATATTAGGGATGCACAATATTTCAGTGGCTGATATTGTTTTGTCTGATAAATGAGAAATGTATTTTATTGTTCCAATATTAGCATTTCAGTCGATAATTACGTCTGATAAAGCAGAGCCTTGGCTGCGGACCGGAATCAATACCTGCTTCAGTAGGAATTATTTAAAGGTTTTCTGTCTCTACTGAAGGGGACTGAGCAGCACAACAGAATACATGATCTGCTCTCTGCAGTTATATCCACACTACTACGTTTTCATTTTAAAACACAGACCTTTTGCTATGTTTGCACCTCCCGTTGCGTTTTAGTGCAGACAGGTAAAAGGACGCATCTGGCTTCCTGATTGGGTCTTCTATGCAAAGTAAAAGCACAAATCTAAAGCCTAAATCTTTAGCCTTCTTAAGTTTCCTTAAATAATACAGTAATTTCTGAGCTTTCTTCACCAGCGTGGAGATGTGAGATGACCATGTTCTCTATGATGTTGATTCCCAGAAACCTGAAACTGTTCACCTGCTCCACCTCAGCTCAGACAAAGGTCTTTCCCTTTGCCTGGGCACTGCCCATTCTTTCTGTATGTTCATTGATCAATTCTCATCCACCATCTTTGTTGGTGCAATACAGAGAAAAGTCATGTTTATGAATCAGACACTCCTTTTGGCCACTGTGGGTTTCATTAATTTCGAGACTTTGCTTTTTGTAATGGGCTCAAAAGAAGAGAAGTTGTCGAAGTTTCTGCATTGACAGAAAAAAGATACAAAGATATGGCAAAGAAGAATTATATTACAGCTGAGGCTTTTGAGCTGATTTTTCAAAGTGAAGAGGTAGAGGAAAATATCTTTGATGGGTTGAGTAGGCAACAGAGCAGAAAAATGAGATTTTGCAGATCTATTGTTTTTGCACACTAGGACACCGTGTGCTCTTCAAGGTATTTAGTAAATAGCTTATTCTAGCTAAAATAAACAGACATAGGCATACACAGTATAGGATGGAAATAAATAGCATGCGAAATAAACCAAATACCAAGGTAAACTATTATTGATGTCTCCCCCTCCACAAACATCTCCTACAGAACCAGGAAGAATACGTGCCTATCATGTCAAGGGGCATCGGCAAGGGAAAAATAACAATTCCTCGCCAAAAATGCCCATGAACACTACCCAAAAAATGGGCTCAACTCATTAACTTCTAGCTTCAAATGACTTCAAATGGCAACTTTAGATGTGGACTTTTTCTTTCAAGATCATGGTAGTGCTGGTTTCAGAAAAAGTTCAGTATTTTCTTTTTGTTTTGTTTTACGGGCTAATATCCCCCCATAATAGAGTGACAGACATAAACTGAGGTTTGTGCTGGGGATGTTGAAAAAAGGCAAAACACAAAGGCCTTAATCTGGGTCACAGACTGTTAAGATGACACCAAGACGCCAATATGACTCACCCATGGGGGTAAGATTACACTCCTCATTCGGTTTGTGGATGACACTCAGGTAGCGATAGATCCTCTCAAAGTCCACTACGCACTTGATGCCAAACATCCTAGGACTGTCTTTTGTGGAATATTTGCTGGTGCGACCAAACCTGGCATGAAATGCTGTGGCAGGGGTGGAGTGTGGTGGCACAGAGCGGGTGGAGGAGCTGCTAGAGGTGGTTAAACTGGAAGATGCAACACAGGATGGTGCAGTACTGGGGACTTGAGATATACTGGCGGCAGAGATGGATGAAGTTGGCATTGAAGAAGAGGTGGTGGTGGTGGTGAGGTGATGCTCTGAGGGCTGATTTATAGAATTGCAAACATTTTTTAAAACCGCTCCGGAGCTAGAACTGGGTGTAACTTGTCCTGGAATTGGTGTCAGGGTCTGTGAGGCAGGCCGTGGTGATGTAGAAGGCACAGTGAGTATTTTTGCTGCAGCGGACTGGCAGGAGGAGGTTCCAGCTGTGTTAGAAAGCTGTTGGTGGGGTGGAGGGATTTTGCCGTTTGGCACTCTAACCACTTGGGATGGTGCTGGGAGTCTTTTGGCTGGGCCTGTGGTTGGCATTGGAGTCTTGAGTACCAGGAGAGGACAGGCTTTGTTGGTGCCAGGAGACATACCTAAAGTGGGGGAAATACTACATTGTAAAAGCTGTAAAATGCTCTTGTTATCACAGTAATATGGAGGAAAGCAGCAATACATTTGACCACGGAGATTCATCTGCATTGAGTATGATCTCAGGGTCAAGGGGCTATGGAGGATGTTTATGGTCAGAATTCAAACTAGTCCAAATCAAATTATGTCCAAGTTATCCAAGGTGGGTTAAAATCAAGGACAAGTGGACTTGGTTGAAGATACTCGAAGATATTTCAGCTCTCCAAGAGGGTTCTTCAATTCTAACTGACTCTCGGGGAGTCCCAGCTATTTAACCTCTGTGGGGTCATTATCAAGGTGAAGATAGCTGAAGATTGTTCTTAATGACTTTTGCTGTGTGTTTGGGCTCATGCTGCAGAATAAATTTGGAGCCTGTACTTCTCAACACTGAGGAGACCATTCATTCTGACCAAATCCCCAACTTTCAACTCAAACTTGAAGCACCATGCTTCACTGTTGCTTGCAGACACTCATTTTTGTACTGCTCACCATATTGTTTGAGCTTCTTCAAAAGAGCTTGGACAGCACATCTGGAAACCCCTGTCTAACTTGAAATGTCTGCCTGGGAGAGAGCTAGTTGATGCAGTGTAACTACCTTGTGTCTTGTTGCTGTGCTCAGTCTTGCCATAGTAAACTGTTTGGCTGTTCCTCACCCAGCTGGATTCCTCCTACACAGCTGTTTCTGATTCAGTTAATGAAATGTTTAACCTACATACTGAATTGGTGATTAGCACCTGTTTGGTGTAACTGTTTAATCATACACATGATGATATGCCTACAGAATCCCTGACTTTGTGCAAGTGTACGAAGAACTGATGCTGTTTTCTTTAGTTCACTCCTTTATATCAGTTGGAAATGACGAAGGCTCCTGATATCAGATATTTAGCGTCAACCAAATTCTTGTGAATTTGACAGAGGAAGTTGAGGACGACACCTTGGACTGGCAAACGAGGCATTGGTCTCAAAGGGACGGTGCGACCAATGGGCCTGTCTTCGTCTGTGGGTGGTCTTTGGACCTGGGGAGGATCACGGTTCCTCAGGGTACGAGGCTCTGTGGACGACACTAACAGCATCTGAGAAATACAGGGAGAAGGATGGTGTGAGGAGAGAGATCAAAGATTCAAGGCAGAACTAATGAGAAATTCAGATCTGAGCAGGAAAACACAAGTTTGTCTCCAAACTAGAAAGCTTTCAGATTAGGCTGAACGATTTGGGGAGAAAATCTAATTGAGATTTTTCTGCCAGATATTGTGTTTATCCCATGTTCTCCTCTAGTTTCGTTTGTTGTTGTAAAATGTACCCACCCTGTGCCCACTCCAATTGGTGAGTAGGATCGTAACAGGAGGCGTATGGCACTTGTGATTGGCAAGCAAGTCTGGTACCCTTTCATTTAAGAAAGAAAAACCCACAATGGTCTCTAAAATAACTTGAAACTGACAAAAGTAGTAATAAAATAAAATCAGTGTGCTGCTGCTGACATGCGGTGACGAGCTGCAAGATGGCTCCGGCCAGCTCCGCCAACTTTTAGCTTCAAAACGGCACTTCAGAACGCTATGGGTGACGTCACAGACACTACGTCCATTTCTATATACAGTCCCTCTGAACATGCTTTGTTTTAAATTCCTTACAGAATGTTTGTTTTATTTCCATTCATGAGTGACCCAGGGGGTTTGATCGATCCATTTTGAGATATATTGTAGTCTACTGGACAGGAAGTAATAAGCAAAACAGTTCTAATCCACCACAATCTTTGCTTTTTGCAGAGTTTTTAAACTGATTCATGGGAGTTTATTTTTCCACAAAAACTTAGAGATTTGAGTCCAGTGACTTAAACCAGACGGCAGAGGGTTGGGTGGTTAACACTGAAAACAGGTAATTGACTTTAGGTAGGACCATCATTTTTATTGATTTATTATTTATTGATTTAAGTAGGAGCGTGTAGTTTAGCCATGTCAGTTCTGACAGCCTGGAAGAAATATTGGCAGCCAGATATTTAATATATATTTGAATTTTTTGTTTTAGCTCTAATTCACGAGATCTCTCTTTCTTTTTTTGTATGATGAGTAGGAGATTATTTTACCTCTTGACTGCTTTTGCTGCCTCCCAAAGAAGACCAAGTTGGATTCCTGGCAGGTCATTTGTTTCCATATATTTTCGCACTCCTTTTTGAATTAACTAATAAAATCTAGGTCTTTAAGCAATAATGTCTTACGTCTCCAATTTGTAGTTGCTGTTGTGACTCTTTTAGTAAGAGTGATAGAAACTGGTGCATGATAGTGAATCTGAGTGTCTGAAATGTGTCATAATTGAGCTGCTAACCAAAAAATTGTCTAGGCGAGAATATGAGTGGTGGACTGGTGAAAAGAAGATATATATTCTCTCAATCTGGGGTGGTGAGAACGCCAAACATCGCAAAGACCAAAATCGCTCATGTATTGTTTAAGGGTGTCTATTGATTTCCAAATACATTAACTGCCTGCTGTAGTGAGCCTGTCAACTGCTCGATTACATACCAGGTTGAAGTCCCCTCCTATTAAAAGAACAGTGACTGTGTGAGCAGAGAGTGAGGTGAAGAAAGCATGAAAAAAGGAGGGGTCATCAACATTCGGGTCATAGACATTAGCAATCTATAAAGGAGTATTTTGAATTGAACTGTTAACTATAATAAATAGACTTTCTGGATCTATAGTAGTAGTATTATGATTGAAGTGTGTTTTTCTATTTATCATAATGGTAACTAGGGCTGCAACTAATGCCTATTTAAAATCGTATTTGATTGCAGAGTGCCATAGCGCATTCGCACAGCACATCCTATTGCTCGTCCCTCTCTTTCTCACTCCCCTGTCCCGCTCTCTCTCCCTCATGAACACAGCTGCACAAATCAGTGCATATATATATATATATACACACACACACAACAGTATACTATTAGATAAAAATTAATTTTTTATCTAATGTTATAATATTACACTAATACACATTAAAACTAGTTTCTCCTCCATGTTGTAGAAAGAGCCTGGCATATCAGTGTGCTCCTTCAAGCCTCCTCCTGAGAGCAACACGTTCCACTCGTTCTGATTTACTAAAAAGTTACTGTAATACTGTTCAGTATTCTTGTTTACATTAGGCGTGGGTTGTATGGGTGCTGCTGGTATATCGTGAATCCGTCCCTAAACAAGCACCAATCACAATCAAGTTTTTTGTGATGACTGATCAGTATTTTAAAAGCTGTTTTCAATATTTTAAAATGCTTAACATTAAGGCCAATGCCGAGGTGTACAGATCTTCACTTCCAGTCCTAGGGTTTCATACCATAGTTGTACACAAGGAGGAGCAAACACGTAGTTTAAATGTGTATAATAAATAGTTTGTTAAACTCTTTTGCCGTGCTCATAAATTTCTTTGAGCACATGTGCTCCTTGGGAAAAAGGTTAGCGTAGACCCCTGGTGCAGCTTATTGACTCGATTTTTTTTACATGAGCAAGGTACACTGCTCAAAAAAATAAAGGGAACACTTAAACACCACAATGTAACTCCAAGTCAATCACACTCCTGTGAAATCAAACTGTCCACTTAGGAAGCAACACTGACTGACAATCAGTTTCACATGCTGTTGTGCAAATGGAAAAGACAACAGGTGGAAATTATAGGCAATTAGCAAGACACCCCCAATAAAGGAGTGGTTCTGCAGGTGGTGACCACAGACCACTTCTCAGTTCCTATGCTTCCTCGCTGATGTTTTGGTCACTTTTGAATGCTGGTGGTGCTTTCACTCTAGTGGTAGCATGAGACGGAGTCTACAACCCACACAAGTGGCTCAGGTAGTGCAGCTCATCCAGGATGGCACATCTATGCGAGCTGTGGCAAGAAGGTTTGCTATGTCTGTCAGCGTAGTGTCCAGAGCATGGAGGCGCTACCAGGAGACAGGCCAGTACATCAGGAGACGTGGAGGAGGCTGTAAGAGGGCAACAACCCAGCAGCAGGACTGCTACCTCCGCCTTTGTGTAAGGAGGAGCAGGAGGAGCACTGCCAGAGCCCTGCAAAATGTCTGCTCAAACGGTCAGAAACAGACTCCATGAGGGTGGTACGAGGGCCCGACGTCCACAGGTGGGGGTTGTGCTTACAGCCCAACACCGTGCAGGACGTGCAGAGAACACCAAGATTGGCAAATTGATGAAAGCAGGTTCACACTGAGCACATGTGACAGACGTGACAGAGTCTGGAGACGCCGTGGAGAACGTTCTGCTGCCTGCAACATCCTCCAGCATGACCGGTTTGGCGGTGGGTCAGTAATGGTGTGGGGTGGCATTTCTTTGGGGGGCCGCACAGCCCTCCATGTGCTCGCCAGAGGTAGCCTGACTGCCATTAGGTACCGAGATGAGATCCTCAGACCCCTTGTGAGACCATATGCTGGTGCGGCTGGCCCTGGGTTCCTCCTAATGCGAGAAAATGCTAGACCTCATGTGGCTGGAGTGTGTCAGCAGTTCCTGCAAGAGGAAGGCATTGATGCTATGGACCGGCCCGCCCATTCCCCAGACCTGAATCCAACTGAGAACATCTGGGACATCATGTCTCGCTCCAACCACCAACGCCACGTTGCACCACAGACTGTCCAGGAGTTGGCGGATGCTTTAGTCCAGGTCTGGGAGGAGATCCCTCAGCAGACCATCCGCCACCTCATCAGGAGCATGCCCAGGCGTTGTAGGGAGGTCATACAGGCACGTGGAGGCCACACACACTACTGAGCCTCATTTTGACTTGTTTTAAGGACATTACATCAAAGTTGGATCGGCCTGTAGTGTGGTTTTCCACTTTGATTTTGAGTGTGACTCCAAATGCAGACCTCCACGGGTTGATAAATTTGATTAACATTGATAATTTTTCTGTGATTTTGTTGTCAGCACATTCAACTATGTAAAGAAAGGAGTATTTAATGAGATTATTTCATTCATTCAGATCTAGGATGTGTTATTTTAGTGTTCCCTTTATTTTTTTGAGCAGTGTATTTAGTGTTATCCAAGTTGTATCACTCTACTTCCATAACTCTATAATGTCCTACAACAAACATCTGAAACAAAATAATAGCAGCCCAACTTGACTTATCAATGTCTGGCTGCAGTACCTGAGAGAAAGCAGTAGAAATGGGTTCTTCGAGGGTTCCAGCGACAGCAGAAGCAATGTGTGTCCAAACCTCAATGGGCTTTCTGACTTTCTTCTCCTCCCATCTCTTCTTCTTCAGCTTGAAGCTGGCACATGAAATCACTTTGTTCTTCAGCGATTCCACCACAGAGTGGATCTAATGGCAGAAAGGGATAACTCACACATATAGTCGACACATTGTCTCACAGTTGCATGTTCTCACTGAGGTTCTAACAAAATTGCAGTTTCAAACTGATTAAAATGATTAGGTGATTGACATTCAATGGTTCTGGCTTCCTAAATGTTAGGGTGTGACGATTTTATTTTCTATACATAATTGTTAATTGTAGGGATCGACCAATAGGCCTGGCAGAGTATTGTGGCCGATATTCAGCATTTTTCCAATAATCTGCATCAGTCATTTTAAAAGCAGTTTGCCAATATAATTCATGAAAAAAAAAAAAAATTGCGCTTCTTTGGTTTTGATGCAGCCACAGCTCTCTGTCTGTACTCACCACTCTGTGGGCTCGAGCAATGTACCGCCCACAGTACTCTCTCAGGAGCTCCGCCAAGCGAAGTGAGCGGAGATCAGTATAGATTACACAAGTTGACCATAAGCACTTACACTTACTGGAAGTAAGTGCAGCAAAACCAGCAGTACTAGTAAAAGGCTGATACTGTATTAGTACAATAAGCAGGAACGTGTACAAAGAGATATTTTATTCTGCTCGGTCTCATCCACCGCAGCTGTGTTTTGGTTTTACGCAAGCACATGTGCTAGCTCGGCTCATAGCTAGTTTGTTATAAACAAGCTTAAACAAAATCTCTGTCTGTAGCCTGTTTAGCTGAGATGCTACGTACCATAATGTTTAGCAAATCCTTGTAAACTCAACTGCTTGTTAAGACAAACCAGTTCCTCTCTATCAGCAACAGCAGAGGGAGGATGAGGGAGGACTGATAGGGAAAGATTTTCATTCTTAACTTCACTCAGTATTTTGATGTCAGTTGATGACATGTTCCATTTGTTTCCAGTGAGATACTGATTTTATATAGTGACTTTGCTGCTGTAAACTTTACTTTTGTGGCTGCTCTGAAAACATTTAGTTAAATAAAATATAATAATTAATATTAAATTTGATTACTGTTCTGAATTTATTTCTTTTTAATAATATATTTTTTAAAAGGCAATTATTAAGTTGTAGAGTGAAATTGAGTTTTGTTACTCCCTTCTGCTACATAGCAGACAGTAAACATTAATAAAGATTCAATTATGAAAAATGGGTAACAGGTCAGTGGATGATGCAGTCAACTTGGGACTGCATCACATCCTGTAACACCTCGACTCTCCAGGGACATATGCAAGGATCCTGTTCGTGGACTTCAGCTCGGCGTTCAACACCATCATCCTGGACATCCTCAGCACCAAACTCACCCAGCTCACTGTGCCAGCCTCCACCTGTCAGTGGATCACAAACTTCCTGACTGACAGGCAGGTGAGACTGGGGAACATCACACGATACGTGCAAACCGGAAAAATGATTTACAAGCACAATGTGCGAGTAACTACAACCTACCGTAGGCTAACCCTCCCCGCCCGCTGTGGCACCGCTAATCGTTCAAAACACCCCCGCCCCGAGTAGCAGCAGGATGTGACACAAAGCTGGTGTCAATCATATCAGAGTTGTTAAAACTCTGGCAGGAAAAAAGCCAGCCAGCACTGGGAGAGATTCCGGTGGGCGGATCGCTCGGTGGCTGCTTGAGCAATTCCTTTCAAAACAAAGGCCGAGATGTCAGCAGCTGGAGCGGTGAGACAGAAGACAGCAGGGAGAAGATAAGGAGGTTGTGGGTTTCGCTAGCTGGCTATTTAGCTATATCAGGTGCCTTTTCTTGAAACATGTTCAACTTTTCATAAAATAGATGTGCTCGTCAGTTTCACTTTTCACTTTCTGACCAATCACAGCCTGCATGGGACATTAAAAAAAGTTTGACGTGCTACAGTAAACTTTTAAAACATTGTACCCTTCTTGTATGAATGTTTCTGATTATTAATGAGATAACGTTAGCAGCATTAACAAATTAAGAGACCAAAGTAGGCCATTTTTCTTGCACAAAAATTTAATGAATGAAAACAACTCATAAACATGAAACTGCTGTTTTGTCCGACTGGAATAAATATTATACCTGTGGTGAGCTATTTAGTATATTATTACATAAAATTACAATGCATATAGAAAAATTAAATCATTAATATATTAACATACATTCTATTTATATTAGAACTAGTTTAAATGAGTATTAGTATTTGTGTGCCAGTAGCTCCTAGCCTCCTCCTGAGAGCAACACGTTCCCCTTGTTCTGTTTTACTAAAGTGACTGAAAAGTGTAATTTAAAATTCTGCATCAAATCAACGGCGTAGCCTATGCGTTAATACTGTTCAGTAGTCTTGTTGACATTAGGTGTGGGTTGTTTGCTGGTGTATCGTGAATCCGTCCCTGGTTCAAAAACTACATAATAATCACAGTAATGTTTTTTGTGATGAGTGATCAGTGTTTTAAAAACTGTTTCAATGCCAATTTTTCAAAACATCCGTTTCAATATTTTCAAAAGCTTCAACAACTGTTTAAGGCCTCTAATGGTTTCACACCATCATTGAACACAAAAAGAAGGAGCACACACGTAGTATAAATATGTATATAATAAAGTTTGTAAAACTCTGTGTTACTTTAACATTTTTTACTGTGCTCCTAAATTTCTTTGTGTTTTTCCATTTAGGAGCACATGTGCTCCTTGGGAAAACCTTAGCGTAGAGCCCTGGGTCATTGGCCTCATCCAGGACGGTGATGAGTCGGCCTACAGATGGAAGGTTGATCAGCTGGCTCTCTGGTGCGGTCAGAACAACCTGGAGCTTAACATGCTCAAAACTGTGGAGATGACCGTGGACTTCAGGAGGAGCCCCCCTACTCTGCCCCCCATCACCATACTCAACAGTCCTGCGTCTGCTGTGGAATCCTTCAGGTTTCTGGGATCCACTATATCCCAGGACCTGAAGTGGGAGCCCAACACTGACACCATCATCAAGAAGGCTCAGCAGAGGATATACTTCCTGTGCCAGCTCAGGAAGCTCAACCTGCCTAAGGAGCTGCTGATCCACTTCTACACAGCCATCATCCAATCTGTCCTCCATCACTGTCTGGTTTGGATCTGCCACCAAAAAGGACAGGAGCAGACTGCAACGGACAGTCAGGACTGCAGAAAAGATCATCGGTGCCAACCTGCCCTCCATTCAGGACTTATACATTTCCAGAGTTGGGAAACGTGCAGGAAGCATCACTGCAGATCCATCTCACACCGGACACAACCGGTTCCAACTTCTCCCCTCTGGTAGGCGCTACAGAGCACTGTATGCCAAAACCAACAGACTCAGGAACAGTTTCTTCCCACAAGCCATCACTCTGATGAACAGTGTCAGGAACAATTCTTATGCAATAACCCAGTAACTCTGTCTCTAATCAGCCACCTGTTCATTGGCTAACACTTATTATTTATTCACCATTCTCTATTTCAGTGGTGTTCATACTGTTATATCGTCATATTGTAGATACTGTATACCAATACACCTACCTCAAGTCATTACTCCTGCACAAAATACTAATACCTATTTATTCCAGCATCCTTTGCACTGTGTACATGTATGCATGTAAATGTACCTGTATATCACATCCACCTCCGACATGTACATACTCCTGCATCCTTTGCACTCTGCTCACTGCACTATTTTTCAATATGTCTACATTGTTTTTGTTCATAGTGTGTATATTTGTGTTGTCTACATTGAAGTCTGTGTCAGACTTTATTATGAGTAAGCACATCGTGAGCAACGTACAACCCGGCACCTGGACTCCCCATGAACCTACGCCAGGATCCTGTTTGTGGATTTCAGCTCTGCTTTTAACACCATCATCCCGGCCCTGCTGCAGGACAAGCTCTCCCAGCTGAGCGTGCCTGACTCCATCTGCAGGTGGATCACAGACTTCCTGACGGACAGGAAGCAGCACGTGAAGCTGGGAAAACATGTCTCTGATTCCAGGACCATCAGCACCGGTTCCCCTCAAGGCTGCGTTCTTTCCCCCCTTCTCTTCTCCCAACAGCTGCACCTCCAGTCTTCAGTCTGACAAGTTTGCGGACGACACCACCCTCATTGGGCTCATCTCTGGTGGGGACGAGTCCGCCTACAGGTGGGAGATCGACCATCTGGTGACCTTGGAAACGGTGGTCCCAGCTCTTTTCAGGTCATTGACCAGCTCCTCCCGTGTAGTTCTGGGCTGATTTCTCACCTTTCTTAGGATCATTGAGACCCCACGAGGTGAGATCTTGCATGGAGCCCCAGTCCGAGGGAGATTGACAGTCATGTTTAGCTTCTTCCATTTTCTAATGATTGCTCCAACAGTGGACCTTTTTTCACTAAGCTGCTTGGCAATTTCCCCGCAGCCCTTTCCAGCCTTGTGGAGGTGTACAATTTTGTCTCTACTGTCTTTGGACAGCTCTTTGGTCTTGGCCATGTTAGTAGTTGTTTGATTGATTGTTTGTGATTTCTGGATTATTTTTTTTTAGATTATGTCTCTCACAGTGGACATGCACCTACGATGACAATTTCAGACCCCTCCATGATTTCTAAGTGGGAGAACTTGCAAAATAGCAGGGTGTTCAAATACTTATTTTCCTCACTGTATGTGTAAAACACTACTTGGCAATAACGCTCCTTCTGATTCTGATTCGTACTTTAATAAACTCCTCTCTCTGTGCAGGCTGAACCCATTGATGATTAAAAGTAGCACCACGAGCGGGGGCGCTAGTGCGCATGCGTAGGATGTAGACGTGCTTAGCTTGTGCTCTCCACTGCAACTTATGCAAAATTACCGAATACCACGATAAAACTGTCCAAGAGCTGATATTTTTTGCTCGCTCGCCTATTTCATTCGTTGAACTTTGCTAATTTGAAAATGTTGAGGCAAAGAAACCCTCCTGGGAAGCCCAAGACCATCGATGGATACATCGGCAGTGCTAATGCTAGCGGGGCTAGTGCTAGTGATAGCCGCTCTAACGCTGGGTAAACAGCACTTTTCACATCCCAAATCTTCTAAGTGATGACAACTTTGCTAAGAATATAACCTCTAAATTGGAAGATTTTATAGAATTAAATGATAATGGTGAAGTATCTGACTTGACCCTATGGGAAACATTAAAAGTCGTTTTGCGTGGTGATATAATCTCCTACACCTCAGCCATTAAAAAGGAGAGAGAGATGAGGCTACTTGAAATTAACAACACTCTTTCTATTTTGGAAAGAACTTACCAAATTTCTAAATCACCGGATCACTATAAAGAGATATTGAAGCTTAAATATGAATACAATGATGTTATGAGTGGCCAAGTTAAGAACTTACTTTTGAAATTAAGGCAGAAACAGCTTCGGGATAAACCAGATAAACTGTTAGCACAACAGCTTAAAGGTGCCCAGGCTTCAAGAGCAATTAGTGGTATTAAGTCTAAAACAGGCATTCTTCTAACCAATCCTGCTGACATAAAGCATAGTTTCAGTGAATTCTATTCTGAGCTTTACTCCTTAAAACACAATGTTTCACAATCTAACTTGAATGATTTCTTTGACTCTATATCATTGCCCAAAGTGAGTGATGCTGCTACAAAATGTCTTGATTCAGACTTTACACTGCAGGAAGTCATCAATGCCATAAAGTCATTTCCATCCGGCAAAGGCTGCTGGGCCCGATGGTTACTGCACAGAGTTCTACAAGAGATTTTGTGATGTTCTTGCACCACTTATGCTCAGGATGATGCATAATTCTAAAAATGATGGAAAACTGCCAACAACCCTTTATGAAGCAAACATTTCTCTAATTTTAAAAAAATGGCAGAGACGAAACCGACCCTGCAAGCTTTAGGCCAATTGCGCTTCAAAATAACAAAAATCTTGGCTACTAGTTTGAACAAATATCTGGCTTCTATCATCCATCTCGACCAGACAGGGTTTATTCCCGGCAGACTCTCTTTTTCTAATGTCAGGCGGCTGCTCAATACCATTTACTCTGATTTTAGTGGTACCAATGGAGCTTCTATTTTGTCCCTTGACGCGCACAAAGCCTTCGATCAGGTCGAGTGTTTGAGTCACTACGCAGGTTTGGATTCGGGGAAATTTTTATCTCTTGGGTGAAACTGATATATGCAAAAACATGCTGTTCTGTTGACGAATGGTGATTGGTCAGCCCCTTTTTTTTTTGCAACGCTCGGTTCAGCAAGGCTGTCCATCATCTCCGGCGCTCTTTGCTATTGCACTGGAGCCTCTTGCTGTAATAATAAGAGAGCACCCACAGATGAAGGGGCTTCAGATTGGAGGAGTGGAAATGCTTATCAGTTTATAAATTACCAAATACATCAGTACAAACAGCTATATGTTTTAACCATTGTTTTCTGCCTGCCTGGCATGACATACTGTACCATGATTGGAGAAAGAGGGGCTTGGTTTCAGTTAATAATCTGTACATTGACGGTAAACTTGCATCATTCAGCCAACTGAAAGGAAAATACAATCTCCCTAATTCCCATTTCTTTCGGTATTTGCAGGTAATGCATTACGCCCAATCAAAAATTGAAGATTTTCAAAATCTACCCCTGGAGCATGAAATTTATGATATTTGCAAGAGCCCTCCTCTCTCCAAGCGTCTTATTTCGAGAATTGTACGTCCATTTGATGACTGTATTGTTGCGCACACTGTGAAAACTAGGGATACTTGAAAAGAAGAGTTAGGTGTGGAATTATCTGAATCCATGTGGAACACCTGTTTGTCTAATATTCATTTCTGCTCTATAAACAGCAGACACCAACTAATTCAATTTAAGATTGTACATCGCTTGCATTATTCCAAAGTCAAATTACATAGAATATATCCATCAGTTTCCCCGGTGTGTGACATTACACTGTCCCATGCTTTTTGGGCCTGCTCTTCACTGGCAAACTTTTGGTCTAGAATATTTGACTGGTACTCCAAAGCATATGAGCGGCCCCTTCAGCCCGAGGCTGGACTTGAAGACAATTCCAACTATTATGCGGCAACCATTGGAACTGGGACTGATAGTTGCCAAGAGACTGATATTGAAGGAATGGAAGTCTTCCTTTCAGGTATGGGTCATTGATATGCTATCCATAATACAAATGGAGAAACTCCGCACCAGTCAAACAGACACATTTTTCCGTTCTTGGAACCCATTTTTAACTCATTTTGAAAAAGCTAAATTACTACTTGTGTTCCTGTATTGACAACTTTCCTCCTACTGCTGTATTGAATAGGACTGTAAACAACTGGCAATAGCTGCATCTGAGCCCTGTTTGTTTATTTAATTTGAAAATGTAAATAAAAAAAATTAAAAAAAAGTAGCACCACGAGCAAAAAGCAATACATTATTTTAACGTTAATTGTGTTACTTTTGTAAGGCGTTATTCTGAGTAAGAGATGCAAAAACGGAGAATCGATCGCTCGAAGTTAACTTAGCTTCAGACGTTTGTCGTCTTTGGTTCACATCGAGCCGAGCTGCCGAGCAGGACCGAACAACGTTAACGTTATATTTACATTTGGTAAACTTACCTCTGCAACGGACCGAGTAGGCACGTATTTTCTTAGAAAAGCATAGTCGATGTCTCCGAGACCTCCGGCGGTCTTGCTGAGTCTTTTCAGGGCATCCAGGAGCTTCCTTTGCTCCGGTCGCTGCCACTTACCGGCCAGTTTGCCTGAACGCTGCGGTACCGGTTCAGGTTTCAAGTTGCGGTCTGGTTTAGTTCGTGTTCGAGGCGGCGGTTTCATCTCGACTCACGTTGCTGATTGAAACCGAGCTCTTAAAACAACTACACCGGACCTAAAGACTCACTCAGAGAGCCGTGTCTGCTAGTATACACATCCTCTATACGTAAAAGTGAATTTAAACCCTGAGCGGCTTCAACGCCGACAAAACGTAGCAAAACGCTCTGAGTTTGAACTCGTCCCCTGTCTTCCCGATAGAGACCATCCGGTAAAGCCGTAAACCAAACGCCTGTGCAGTATTTTCAGGATAAAGGCGCGATGTCGCAAATTCCCACAGATGCAGTCGTTCTTTCAGGGCTGATGTTGACCTTATTTCTTCACAAAAACAAAGACAAGAAAAAGCTGTTGAGCTCCTTTACCTTTTTAGGGTTGGGGTTTCCTGGTTTGTAAATGGGTTCACAAGCTTTTTTAAACATTTGTTTGTGCCACACACTGTATAAAATAAGGTTTATGCACTTTGATTGAATACATAAAAAAGAAATGGAACAAATTTCATATGACCTTTACATTTACATTTTTTGTTACTGATCGCATATTAAACTTATTAACATTATTATTTACAATTAAACAATGTAAATGTGATACTTTTCCATCATTTGTTGGCAGACAAAAAGTAGAGTAGAGAACATCTTGTCAACACCGTCAACACACACAACACAGGTATACAAAAAAGTATAATCCACTGACGTTTTAGTGTATGACTTTAATTTGAAGGCTAGAGGTCTAACTGCTTCCGGGTTGCAGAATGCAACATGTCATTGGTTGCGTTGCAATAGTTTTAAACAATAACAAAAAATACATCTTGGTTCATTATCATTCCTGTTGCCTCGAATCCTCAGCTGCATCTCGGAGCAGTATGTAGTGATGGCGAGATGAAGCTTCATGAAGGTTTCCATCCAATTCATGGTGCTTCATTAACTCTAGTGTGCCATCAAGTGGACAATAACTGTAAAACAGGCAGAGTGATTCTAATGGCACCATGGCTTTAGTGTGTGATGCTTTCTTAATATAGTGTCTGTCTTTATGATACAATGGAAAGTGGAAACAAAGGACATATGATCACTTGGTTGGTGACTTTAGGTAAAAGAAACAACATTTTATTCATTTATATTTAAAAATAACTTTTCTACAGTGCTGGGCTACAGGCGGTTTCTTTTTTTGGAGATGATTTCACCTGCTTTAGAAAATTATTACGCCCCCCAGCTGAATTCTTACAAAACACTTTCTAGTCTTATTCAACTAAAAATTTCCTCTGTTTCATCACAATTTTTGAAGTTATTTAAACAAAGCAATTCTGACAAAAGTTGATAAAAAGTTTTTGTAATTTAAAATAAGCTGTAGATACAATCTAATTCTGTTCAATTCGATTCAATTGCAAGTTTAAAAGTCTATGTGTGGCCCTGCGATAGACTGGCGACCTGTCCAGGGTGTACCCCACCTTTTGCCTGATGTCAGCTGGGATTGGCTCCCGCCTGATGCGACCATGTACGCAGGACAAGCGGTTGACGTTGGATTTATGGATGGATGGAGTGACAAGGCCTTAAACCCTCTCAGACTGTCAGAGGATTTGAAAAACAAAATGGGAAAAGATAAATGATAAAACAACGATGAATGGAAATGTACTTGTTTTCCTCAGAAATGATGCTCAGAGGTTGAATGCCCTTAAAATTTGCCATTTGGTTAACATGGCTATAGAATGTATCATACCTGGTCAAGTTAAAAATGCTAAAGGAGTAATATACATAAGACCTTCACCTTAACTGGCACTAACTTATCTCTAAACTCAGGAACCTTAGAAACAGCTGTAGAACCAGATATATGGTTAGACTGTTTTGCTTCCCTCAATCTTTACCAACTAACTTCAATAATTTCTTCATCTAAACCATCAACCTGCCTCTTAGACCCCATCCCGACTAGGTTGCTTAAAGATATTTTACCCTTAGTCAGCACTTCTATACTAGATATGATCAATCTATCTTTATCAACAGGCTATGTACCACAGTACTTTAAAGTAGCTGTAATTAAACCTCTTCTGAAAAAGCCCAAACTTGATCCGGATGTTTTAGCCAACTATATACCTATATCTAACCTTCCATTTCTCTCTAAGGTTCTGGAGAAAGCAGTTGCTAAACAGCTGTGTGACTTTCTACAGAGCAATAGTTTATTTGAGGATTTTCAGTCAGGATTTAGAGCTCATCATAGCACAGAGACAGCACTGGTGAAAATTACTAACGACCTCCTTATTGCATCAGACAAAGGACTTGTCTCTGTACTGGTTTTATTAGATCTTAGTGCTGCATTTGATACCATTGACCATCAGATCCTATTGCAGAGACTGGAACATTTCATTGGCATTAAAGGAACCGCTCTAAGCTGGTTTAAGTCCTATTTATCAGATCGATTTCAGTTTGTACATGTTAACGATGAGTCCTCCATGCATGCCAAAGTTAGTCATGGAGTTCCTCAAGGATCTGTCCTCGGACCAATCCTGTTCACTTTATATATGCTTCCTTTAGGCAATATTATCAGGAAATATTCCATAAGCTTTCATTGTTATGCAGATGATACTCAGTTATATCTATCGATCAAACCAGATGAAACTCATCAGTTAGCTAAACTTCAGATGTGCCTTCAGGATGTTAAAACCTGGATGACCTGTAATTTTCTAATGTTAAACTCAGATAAAACTGAAGTTATTGTTCTGGGGCCTAAGCAACTCCGTGATGCATTATCTTTAAGATATAGTTTCCCTTGATGGCATCACCCTGGCCTCCAGCACCACTGTGAGGAATCTTGGAGTTATCTTTGATCAGGACATGTCGTTTAAATCTCACATTAAGCAAATTTCAAGGACCGCCTTTTTTCACCCACATAATATTGCGAAAATCAGGAACATCCTGTCTAAAAATGATGCAGAAAAACTAGTCCATGCATTTGTTACTTCTAGGCTGGATTACTGCAATTCCTTATTATCAGGCTGCTCGAAAAAGTCCGTTAAGACTCTTCAGCTGATTCAGAATGCTGCAGCACGTGTTCTGACAGGAACCAGGAAAAGAGATCATATTTCTCCTGTCTTAGCTTCTCTGCATTGGTTTCCAGTAAAATCCAGAATAGAATTTAAAATCATTCTTCTTACCTACAAAGCTCTTAATGGTCAGGCACCATCTTATCTTAAAGAGCTCATAGTACCTTACTACCCCACCAGCGTTCAGCTATCAAGCTCCTCTCCTGTGGAACCAGGTTCCAGTTTGGGTTCAGGAGGCAGACACCATCTCCACATTTAAGAGTAGGCTTAAGACTTTCCTCTTTGATAAAGCTTATAGTTAGGGCTGGCTCAGGTGAGTCCTGAACCATCCCTTAGTTATGCCGCTATAGGCCTAGACTGCCGGGGGATTTCCCATGATGCACTGAGCTCCTCTCTCCTCTACTTTCTCTCCCTCTGTATGCAACCTCATTCCATTATTGCATGTTACTAACACAACTTCTCCCCTTTCTGGTAGTCTTGTGCTTTCTCGTCCCTCTCCTCTCTCCTCTTATCACTTCCTGCAGGTTTTCTGGCTCTGGAGCTGTGGAGTCTGGATCTATGGCTGCGAGTCACCTGCTGCCCCCGTGTTCCTGCTCGACACCCTCTACTGCAGCGACTATTGTTACTAGTCCTATTGTTATTATTGTTATTATAATCATTAACATTACGATTGTTATCATTAACACTACTATAAATATCTGTACCATTTTTCATTTAGTCTATAGCAACATCATGTATATTGTGTAGGCTGCCTCCCTCCCCTCTCTCTCTCTCCTTCCATCCCTCTCTTTTTCTCTCTGTTCCTCTCCTGCCCTCTCTCTCCCTCTCTCTCTCTCACTCTCTCTCTCCTTCACCCCAACTGGTTGAGGCAGATGGCCGCCCACCCTGAGCCATGGTTCTGCTCGAGGTTTCTGCCTCTTAAAGGAAGTTTTTCCTTGCCTCTGTCGCCTAGTGCTGCTCTTGGTGGGAACTGTTGGGCTTCTGTAAATAACATCACAGAGTACGGTCTAGACCTGCTCTTTTATGAAAAGCGCTGTGAGATAACTGTTGTTGTGATTTGGCGCTATATAAATAAAATTGAATTGAATTGAATTGAATTGAACATAAGCCCTGAGAAAGCAGAGAGTGCCATTTTGAGGAATTTAAAGGGAGCTGAGATTGAAGCAGAGATTCAAAGAATCTAGCACCGCCGTGCTATTAACATTCAAGCAAGATAATGTACTAACAAGTCAGTCTAGGATATATGAGCTTTCCAGTGAGACAATACAATCGTCCTCCACTGCACTGTTACAACTATGGCCATGTAGCAGCAGCATGCAGAGGAAATAAAAGGTGTGAAAAGTGTGGAGGAAGCCATAATTTTACTCCATGTCAAGCTGACGAAATTAAGTGCTGTAACTGTGGTGGAAATCATGTATCTTCATTTATGGGGTGTGAGCATCATGTTAGAGCTGTAGAAGTTGAGAAAATGAGAGTTGAGGGCAAAATGTCATATGCAGAGGCCTTGAAGAAAGTGAGGGGAACAGGCGAACTTTCCAGACAAGTGGCGGTTGGAGCACCGTCTTATCTCTCTCTGGTTAAGGAGAAAGCGAGGCAGATTGTGGGAACCCAGTCGTTCCAGGCATTCATAGATGTTCTGTGGGCAGCTAGAGACCAGTCCAGAAGATCTGACGTTATCAAAAGTGGTTGTGGATGCTGCAGAGAGATTCCTGGAAGAGGTATCTCTGGGCCCAGAAGAGCTACACAAGTACATGAGGCAGAAACTGGAAGTATGTGAAAGAGTTAGGGTTTAAGGAAAGAACACAGACAGAAGTGTTAGGAGTTAGGAGGTGTCGGGTCGGAAATAAGGACCGGCCGGGCCAGTGGAAGACCTGGTCCCTACCCTAACCAACGTAATAAACTCAATAAAATTACTCTTAGATCTCTTCTTTAGTCAAAAACTGCGTGGTCAAAAACTTCACTGGAGATGGTCAAGAGTCGGTGCAAAAGAGTTTATTCCAATAAAGGACAGATAAAGCAACATCCCTGCAGGTCTCAGGATGGAAATGAGTTGGTGGTCAGCGAACATCACCTTATATTCACCTTAAGCTCCACCTTATGGAACAGGTTGTGTCCGGGGTGAGATGGATCTGCAGTGATGTTTCCTGCCCGTTTCCTGACTCTGGAAATGTATTAGTCCTGAATGGAGGGCAGGTTGGCACCGATGATCTTTTCTGCAATCCTGACTGTTCGTTGTAGTCTGCTCCTGTCCTTTTTGGTGGCAGATCTAAACCAGACAGTGATGGAGGTGCAGAGGACAGACTGGATGATGGCTGTGTAGAAGTGGATCAGCAGCTCCTTAGGCAGGTTGAGCTTCCTGAACTGACGCAGGAAGTCCATCCTCTGCTGGGCCTTCTTGATGATGGTGTCAGTGTTGGGCTCCCACTTTAGGACCTGGGATATAGTGGATCCCAGAAACCTGAAGGATTCCACAGCAGACACAGGACTGTTGAGTATGGTGATGGGGGGCAGAGTAGGGGGGCTCCTCCTGAAGTCCACGGTCATCTCCACAGTTTTGAGGATGTTAAGCTCCAGGTTGTTCTGACCGCACCAGAGAGCCAGCTGTTCAACCTCCCGTCTGTAGGCCGACTCATCACCGTCCCAGATGAGGCCGATGACCGTTGCGTCGTCAGCGAACTTCAGGAGTTTGACAGATGGGTCTCCTGAGGTGTATTCGTTGGTGACGAGGGAGAAGAGTAGGGGGGAGAGCACATTGTGCTTGTAAATCATTTTTCCGGTTTGCACGTATCGTGTGATATTCCCCAGTCTCACCTGCTGACTCCTGTCAGTCAGGAAGTTTGTGATCCACTGACAGGTGGAGGCTGGCACAGTGAGCTGGGTGAGTTTGGTGCTGAGGATGTCCGGGATGATGGTGTTGAACGCCGAGCTGAAGAACAGGACCCTTGCATATGTCCCTGGAGAGTCGAGGTGTTGCAGGATGTGATGCAGACCCAAGTTGACAGCATCATCCACTGACCTGTTAGCCCTGTAGGCAAACTGCAGGGGGTCCAGCAAGGGGCCTGTAATGTCCTTCAGGTGGGCCAACACCAGTCTTTCAAAGGACTTCATGACTACAGATGTCAGGGCGACGGGCCTGTAGTCATTCAGTCCAGAGATGGAGGGTTTTTTGGGGACCAGAATAATTGTGGAGCGTTTGAAGCAGGAGGGAACTTCACATAGCTCCAGTGATCTGTTGAAGATCTGTGTGAAACTGGGGGCCAGCTGGTCCGCACAGATTTTCAGGCAGGATGGAGACACATCGCAGGGGCCAGGAAACTTCCTGATCTTCTGCCTCTGGGAATGTTGCTGGCGCACATCCTCTTCACAAATCGTGAGTGCAGGTGAGCGGTCGGAGAGGAGAAGTGAGAGCATGGCGGTCGGGGAAGGTGACTGTTTGAAGATGGTGTTGGAGCGGGTGGTGCGAGAGGTGTGACCGTGGGCTTCTCAAACCTACAATAGAAACCATTCAACCTTATGTCACAGCCACACACAGGCTATAACATGTCTTAGGTGTGTGGAAGTTATTCACTACAGTGAAGAAAAAGCAGCGCTTACTATTTACATCTGCAGAGAAACACACCGAAAGAGACACTGTGGATATTTTAAATCATGGACCAGCTAAAGCAACACTGAACAAAGCTGTTGGTGGCGATGTCATTCATACCACGGTGGTTGGTCTCTGTTAGTAATTATTACCAACAAGCCTCCTCCACACGCGGCTCATCTGCTGCTGTGAAAACAAAATTGCGGGTGAAAAAATACCAAACACAAGTTCTTTTAAATAAAACTGTTGACAAATAAAGTCGGAGCATACAGAGAGAGAGAGACAGACAGACAGACAGACAGACAGGTGTAGGTGTGTGCTTGTGTGTCTGACGGGAAAAGCAAGGTGAGCAGATTACTGTAGTTTGTGATTAAACGCAAAAATAAGTTGGAGAATTAAGTAGATAATGTATTCTTTCAAATATTTTAAAGTAAAATATATTTTAAAATGGCCTAGTTTATGGGCTACTGCAATTTATTTTCAGCTCCTTACCGTGAAAATGCTCATGTTATTTTATAATCAGTGTTTCATTATGACCATACAATTGAATGGACCCCAGTGAGAATAGCCAACATTTATACTGGTGCTGATGGGGATTCTAAAAAAAATGTTTGTGTATGGTGTCAATTATAGTTCTGAAAAGAAAGAAAATCTGAATTGGCCAAAATTAGAATCGGTAGGTCAGACCTTTTAAAAAATCAGTAATTGGAATCAGCCAGGAAAACTGTAATCTGTACATCTCTTACTAGAGCTACATTACATACATACAGCGATAATCCTGTGTGTGAACCGATATTAGGCTAATATTGTAGATCTACCTAGAGACGTCCTATGTCCCAGAAGAAGAATGTGTGGGCGTAAATTTGATCATTTATTTATCAAGATTTCCTTGTTATGAGTGCATCAGCTTTACTTCCTGTTTTAGTTTGTAGTTAGTCTGCCCTAGTGTCTCTTGTCATTTTTTACATCCTGTGCCTGTCTCTGATTGTCTGAATAGTGTCACCGGTGTGTAATTAGTTTCTCCCCCCACCTGTGTATTTAAGTGGTTGTTGCAAGTTCATTGTTGATTTTATGCATATTGCTTTGGTGTGGATTCTGTGTTGTCACTGTTTCTTGTGGATTTATACTTTTTTTGGATTTCTCACCCCTTTGTGTTTTGAATTTTTGTGCTTAGTGTTTTTGGACTGCTTACACCATATCACCTGTAAGTCTCACCGTTTTGGCAATAAACCTCACCTACTCAACAGTTCCATCTCTAGTCTGCGTTTGGGTCCACAACCTCTCTAGCGTTCAGCCAGGTGGCTGAACATAACAGATCTGACTAACAGTACATTAAACAGCTGGGTAACTACAGTATTTAAAAAACGCACAAGCACAATGGATATAATGTTAGTTATTACTGAACTGTAACCAAACACGTCATGTTATGCTTATTAAACTTTAGTAACGTTCAGACATTTAAAAATTAAACTGTGTGCTACGGATTTGTAATATCCTTTCTATTTTTTCCTGCTGTATTTGCAATGATGAGTTAGTCAGGCTGATACTTGCTGTACTTATTAACATTGTCTGAAAGGCAACAGGGGACAGCCAGTGGTTCCGTCTCATGTCAAGATATGGAGTTTAGTATTAAACTTCGATTCATGACCACTATGGCTTGTTTTTATTTATCAATTCCAGTCTTAATGGTTAATAAATATTCTTGGATACAATCCGGCAGAGAACAGAGGAAGAAAGATCACAATGACGGTTCAGCCCTTTCACCAGAAAGACCATCGCTTCAAATGGAAATGACCAGGTAAAGACTAAAAGGACAAGTTTGCTGTTGTAAATGTAAGCCCTATGTATACGTATTGTGGTATGGCGTGGGACCTGCTCCGGACCTGGGGGTAAGGGGCTTCCACTGCTACCCCTGCTGGCTCTCTCACAGTGGGGGCATTCGGGAGTCCCTGTGGCACATGGCCGGTGTTGTTGGGGTGGGTTTTGGCCCTCTTCCTGGGGGATGGTTGACTGATGGTTGGCTGATAGTCCCGCCTCCGGCTGGGCTGGGGGACTATCGGCCCTGGTTTTCCCGCGTTATAGCTCCCTGGCGGCGCAGCTCTCCCCGGGAAATGTAGTCTGGGGTCCTTTGCGCTTTGGGGGGTCGTGTGGTGCCCTGGCTACTGGGGGTGGGGGTCTCTGGGCGCAGGTCGGTCCGGTTGCGGTTCGGAGAGCTGCGATGGGATTGTAGGGCGATTGTCGGTGCATCTTGATGCATTGTTTTTTTTTCTGTGCAGGGTCTCTGGAGGGCTGCACGGCAGCCTGGGGGCGTGTTGTGCATGGGGGTTGTTGGCTGAGGCGGGCGGCCTTTATTTTTCCGGCGGTTGGGGACGGCAGACTTTGATGGGCGGGTGCACGGTGGCCTGCACGGCGCGTTTGCTGCCGGACTGGGACTTGCTGCTGGTGTTTTTCTCCGCATGCTTTCGCCGTCCTGTTCTCGACCTCGCGCGCAGGATATGCGGGAGGCTGCCAGACATTGGGTGTCAAGCCCAACCCGTTGGGCATTGATGTTGATGATTGCATGGCGTTTTGGCGGTTTGGTTGTTCGTTCCGCGGCGGTGGGGTGCTGGGTCTCTGTTGTGTGCTGGTCTCTGTTGTGTGTGCGCCGCAATCAGTCCGGGCGCTGCTCTTCCGCGGGTTCCACCTTTTGCATTCCGTCGGCATTGCGTCGATTGGCATTTGGATGGTCGTTTTTTTGGCCGTCTGTTGGTTGGGTCGGGGTTTTCCGCGTTTGCGTCACAGTGCACAATTTTATTTTTTAATTTTTATTTATTTCTTCCACCCCTATTGGCTACTGGGGTTTTTGCCTGCCTGTTGCTGTGTCTCACACACAGACACACACAGACACACACAAATTTAGGTTGTCCCTGGTAGAATTATTCCTGGTGCTTTTCTTTCAGTTACTTATTTAAATGAATTGTTATTATTCCAGCTCTCATGGCTGTGCTGTGTTGCTTAATAATTGTGCTTGACTGTTTCTTGTTTTCATTTCTCTCTTCGTTGTCTTCCTATGTCAGCTGTTTATTGCTGCTGTTCGGCTGGTTGTCTTCTTTTTTGTTTGTTTGTGTTAGTTTGTTGTTGCTTTTTCTCCGCCTCAAGCCCTAATACCTGTTCTCTTGCAGGTGTTGTCCTTTCTCTGTGCTGTCTGTTTGTGCCCCCCCATCCCCATGTCTGCCCCCCTGTCCGGCCGATGACAAATCAATACATAATGGAATAAAAAATAAAACATACAAAGGGGTATATTAATACTCTCTTGTTAAAGTAAAATCTGTCTTGTATAATATGGTATCCTGGTCAACAACACTCTAAACCAGGCTGCTGGGCAGAACAGGTTTAAAAAAACAAAAAAAACAAAAAAAACCCAAACAAACAAACTGGCCTTTGTGTCGCATTGTGCTGAAAGTGTGCAAACCTGTGTGTTTTGCAGGTCCGTTATTGCTTATGTCTTACTGACTGATTATTTTATTGTTGCTATTATGTTGATGCATATGTTTTATTATTGTTTCATAATAAAAAATATTTTTTGAGGGAAAGAAAATAATACCAAATCCCATATCTTGACTTCTGACTGCACCACTGGCTGTCCCCTGTTGCTTTTCAGTACAGCAATTAACACTAACTACAGTAGCACCTGGCTGATTGTACAACATCAGCCTGGCTAACCCGTCATCACAAATACAGCAGGAAAAAATAAAAAGGAGAATACAAATTGTCTGGGTATCATTGGATAATCCGTAATTTGTTTGTTATTCAAAAACAAAAATACTGTTTATCTATTATTTTGTTTCAAAACAAAAAACGACATAACCGAATTTGTTGTCAGAATCATTAAACCAAAAACGGAAGTCACGTAGTCTATTCCTTTTTTGGAAGCAAAAGTAACCGGTAAACCATTCAAAATAAAAGTAGCCCATGTACCATTTAGTTAGCAAGGTGATTATAGACTAAAACTAAATTAAACAATAACATACAATACAACACAATAATATGTGTGTTTCATGCTTAATATAATAATAGTGCCCATGTAGTCTGCATATGTAATTCCAAAGTAGAGTCCTGTGGTGACAGTTTTAATTGGGGCTATGTGAGATAAATGTTACTGTGTCATTTCGTAAAGAGACTGATGATGAAACACTTTATCAAAGGGCAGAAATCTTCTCCTGTTAACAAACAACAGGCGCACTGCAAAAAAAGTTACTGTAATCAGTGACTGTTTATTGGAACCTCGAGATGTTTCTACTTGTTATAATCTTGACAGACATGTTTCTGAATTGTGAAGATATGATCTGTGGCAGGCTCAAACAGTGAACAGATGATGTAACTGTGCGACATGTTTAACTGACGTCGCTTTAAAATGACAGCTACGAAGAAAGGCCATCTAATGTAAAGGTTTATCCCAGATGCATCATAACCTCCTGTCTGTCCTGGCAGCGGCCAAGTTAGGAAGGTAGGTAGGTAGATACATTTATTTGTCACAATATAACAGGTTATAGGGTGAAATTGAGTTTTGTGACTCCCTTCTGCTACATAGCAGACAATATACATTATACAGAAGCAATTATAAAAATGGTAAACAGTGCTGAGGATGAATTTGAGCTTAAAAGACTTAAAATCTTAGAAGTGGTAGTATGGCATCAGAAACTTCTATATCTGTTCCCAGAAGGCAGCAGGATGAACAGGCTGTGGCTGGGTGGGTACTGTCCTTTCGTATCCTTTGGGCTCTGCAGGCACCTCACTACACTGATATCACTGATGCTCGGGAGATGGGTACCAATGATCTTCTGAATAGAGCCCTCCGGTCCTGGGCCGTGCACATCCCATGTCAGTTAGTGATGTTTCCAGTCAGGATGCTTTCTGTTGCTCCTCTGAAAAAAGCTGACAAGAACTTGACACGGGAATTTGGCCTTCTTAAGCTTCCTCAAGAAATACAGTCGTTTCTGAGCTTTCTTCATCAACATGGGGATAAGAGAGAACCATGTCAGGTTCTCTGTGATCCTGATTCCCACGAACCTGCTTCTAGTTCTGTTCCAAACTAAGAAGTTGACAACGGCTCATTACAGGTCCATCCACCAGCCCCCTCCCCCTTTCCCAATCCACTGCACTAGCCATATCAGCATCACCACCAGGACTTTCTCTGGTGAAGAACCATCTCTCTTTCCCCCACGGCACCACCACACCAAGCACCACGCAACCTGCTCACACAACACCAACCTCAACCATCTTGCCGGCCACCCAACCCTGGTTGTCCCAATCTGACATTACCAGCACTTCCAAGGCATTGTTGCCCATACACTTTGATTTCCAGAATATCTTCTTTTAGCACTACTCAGAATTGTCTATATTACTCACTGTCAGCCCCGTGTTCGGGTGTTAGAGCAGCCCCAAGATATTTGATCCACTTCCTTTTTCGAGCCTCCGTCCCAACCTCATATTTCTTCGTACAATACAAAATACCTCCTCTACTGTTGCTTATTTCTCACTCTTCTTGGACACCTAACCATCCCCATCCGCATCATCACACAAGGCCGATCCTTCCTTTCCCACTTACCAACACTACCCGCCGCAGCATCGTCCTTCCATGATAATGCAGTACTCAATGACACTGGTAAAATGAGCGAGATTATGACACGACTTCCTTTCATCTCGGAAAGGCATCTCTTTCTATTACTACGACCACATAACCCAACCCGAAGACATCAGCTTATACACCGATGCAGCCCCCTCCATCGGTTTCAGCGGCTACCACGGATTCAGATGGTGGAGAGTGGCCGCCAGAACCATCCTCACTCTCTCAAACCGTACCCAATTATCACCGCCGCCATTCTTTGGGGGCATGAGTGGTCCAAAGCCATTCTGGCACACACAGACAACCACACTGCTGTTGACATCATAAACCAAGGTCGCTCATTATGAAGTTCACCCACAGACTGACCTCAATCTCAGCCCAACACCAATTCATCATCAGTTCTTTTTCTACCACAGGAACCACAGGGGGTTGATAAGCTAGCCGCTTATCGAGATGAGCCCCCACCCTGAGTCTCGACCCCTAGCCGCTCCGGCCACCAAACCCTAAACAACCTCCTCCATCCCTCTTCTCTCGACCCCTTCATCCCTCTCCCCTTTCACCCTTCTCCCCTTGATCCCTCCGTCATATCTGAACAAACTACCTTTTTATACATACTCATGTTGGCGTGGTCTTAGTTAGTGAACTGCTCCTAATGGCATTTGAAATAATCCACTGCACCTGAATGAAAACAACCAATCAGAGCCAGGAGAGCTGTACAATCACTGCTTGAGCACACGCTGTGCTCACTAAGTCAAGCTCAATATCTTCAGCACATGTCTTCAGACGTTTTGCAGTGGTGGAGAAAAAAAACACCTGCAATGAAAAAAAAGAAATGTTTTCTCTGCTTTACCACCTCCTCAGTCCCCGTGTCTCTCCTATTTTCCCCTCCTCTGTCAGTTCATTGTGTTTGTTTAGGCGTGGGGCTCCGGTCCCCTGTCTGTTCCTATCACCAGATTACCTGTGATAGGAACAGAGAGGTGGATCCCACTAGGCCTTCTCAGCATGGCGGTACTAAAACCTCGCTCCATTCTTTGCCAGATCGTCCGTTTACCTTTATGGTATACAGGCAATGGCCAGCTCAGTATTGTATCTAGTTTAGCCTCGTCTTGCTGTGTGGTTACCTGACTGACATCCTGTATGGTGTTACATATGCCTCTGGTTGCTGCTCTGGTGAGAGGGAGCTTTAACCATTGTTTTTGGACCATTTTTTTGCCCCTGTCGACAGGATCACATCCTTGCATGTTCCTTGTAAATTGTTAATAAATCTCCTGTGTTCATCCCTTACTACTGCCTCAGTGTCTGCTCCTGAATCCTATTGTGAGCAACCTTAACAGTTCGTTATTAGAACATAAATGTGCTGCTCTACATGTTTTAATGAGCACACTGCTTTGTTTTTACTTTTGAGAATTTACATTCTTATCAATATGTTTAATCAGCTTGTAGTTTGTATGCTTGAACATGCATGTAGACATATGTCTAATGTGTGCACTTTTGTGTGTGTGTGTGTGTTTGGGTGTTCTGCAGTTGCTGCATGATGATGTTGGTGGATGAGTCACCCCGTCTTCACGTGACATCATGAATCACTGCACCTCTCCATGGGCAGAGCTGCAAGCATCAACCACTTCACTCCTCTCTTATCTCAGCCCTCATTCCCTCCTCCCTGCCTCTGCCCAGCCGTGTGTTACCTAGCATGCTCTCTGTCTTCACTGTTCTCCACTTGTGTCGTAGCCTTAGATCCAGTCCCTGTATTGGCTGTTTTCATTTACTAATGCATGTCCCATCTAACCATGTCTGTTTTAAATTGTTTTATGTTTTTCTTCTGTCTGCAACAGTGTTATTTGTGCTGCTACCTTTTATTGCTGGTTAAATAAAATAAATAAAAATAACACCTCCAATAAGTTTCAGTGCTCAGTGCTTCACAGAAATGCGTTTGTGATTACTCGTGTATAGTGTTAGCACATCGCTGCAGCCCACAATCAGCATCTCCCCTAATGACTCCTCCAACATATAATCACCCTGCTGAACACTCCCACTCTGGAGCAGTATGACGTATCAAAGCAAGCCAAATCCTGTCTTCTGTTTCCTCCCACCGTCTGTGCTGTAATCAGCCTAAAGGACTACCTAGGGATCACTGGGGATTAACTTTCTTAACCCAAGATTTGATTTGTTTATCATGATGTATATATGAGAAGGAAAAGATAGGTTTCAGAATATACCAGATCTAGCATATTTGTCCATTTAAATCAAGGGTAGGCAATTTATTTAAGAAGCATTTTGTTAGATTTTTTGACATTACCTTAATTTTACATTATTTTTACATTTACATCTACTCAAATACTCAACAGCAATCAAAAAATCTAAATGGAAAAAAGATCTGGTATCTGTGGCTGTTGCAGAAATGTAATTTTTCAAAGGTCTTCGCAGCACATACTAAATTCCATTTAGCTCACATTGTACAGGAGAGGAGGCAGAAATAACAAAGACAAATCCAAAACCCGGAGAAACAAGACTAGAACCAAGTGAGAAAATATGTTTTTATAAGTTTCTTAAACCAAACACTTTTTCTCCCCAACCAAGCGGGAAGCATTCATTTAATAGTTAGTATTGCTGTAATATATCTTCCTGGCCAACAGTGGCAGCACCGAGGACAATCCCTGTAACAAATTATACGCCTGAGTGACGGAAATGTCCAGGTTCAGTGAGATGGCTGTCCAGGGACATTTGGTGTAAAAATTCTCTCTGTCCACAATGAAGCATTTTTGTAATAAAAATAATTGACTTTATTTTTTTCTTTATGTGTAGCAAAAGTAGTCATTGACATGTGCATATTTACATCCAGCAAACGCATGTTTATTGCGATGGTTACAACAAGGTACATCTAGAAAGATCATGGACAATACTCGCTGCATACATGACTCAAACAATGATTTTAAGGTACACTGACGTCATTGTTTCTGTCATCTTAAATTTTTTTAATACTTTTTAGATTGATGCTTGTACGTCAATTTTTTGATGCAAGTATACATAAACGTGCAGACACTGTACCCTCACTTCTGGTCTGTCACTTCATATCTCTTTTTTCCTCCCCTTCTGTCTTAATCTCATCAAAAGCAACAAATCAGTAAACATTAAAAAAAGCCTCCATTCAGTTTACTCTCTTTTTAGACTAATGGCCTCATGTTGTTTATTTTATTATGAGATTGTCAATGCTATGATTCAGTTTTGGCTTGGAAACAAAGACTCATCCTTTAGCAACAGCCGGACACAAATGTCAACAATATAGACAAACCAAAGAGCAACATCTGCTCTGCTTCCCAATGGCATATTTGAAAAAGGGAGAAAGGGTAGTGTTTATTTGTCACTGATTATCAGTAGCTATATTAGAAAAGAAAGGAGATCTCAGCAGTACAGTCCTTTTTTTTGCATGATAAAAAAACCTTTTTATAGTAATTTTTATAGCACTGTCATCCAAGCAGTCAAATATTCCATCATCATGATTTTAAAATTGTGAATTAAACTCAGATTCACCTGAATGTGAGCAAAATGCTCCTATCTCCAGTGGGATCAGTCCCAGAGAATCATTTCCATTATCCCATCCGCTTCCATTCAACTAGTGATTACAGCCTTGATGTCACCCATAATATCAAATGGTACAAGAGGAAAAAACAAAACAGAATGGGAGGGGTGTCACAGTGACATGTAAGGCAGCAGATATCTGCTCAGAGTTTGCAAACAACTTCCCACCTACAAATGTATACCATGTGTGACCGACGGTTGTGCAACATTTAGATAACAACAAAAACTTGTGAGTTGATAAAAATAAATGAAAAACAAAAGTTGAACACTAAAAAGAACTCTAAGTGGTCTTCATTGAGCTGAAATGAACTAGTGAACAGTGTGCCTCTACCACTGCATCCTCCTCTGAAGGCATCAAATGTAAAATGGTGCTATATAGAGGTATAGAGGGGTTTGGCACCATAGCAACAAGGTAATTGAAGTTATGCAAAAGGATGAGTCATCCAAGCCATTACAGTGGCTTCCACAGCCATTTTATGAAATATGCTTTTTGGTGCATTCAATTTCATTACAAAGACATGTGTATGTGTGTTTGAGTATACATAATGGAACTTTGCTTTTGCTGCATTTTCATACAAAATAACACAAAACTGGTACATTTGCATAAAAATGTACCAGTTTTATGAGATAAGCATAGCAAGTGGTTTGAGCATGAGAACATTTTCTGATTATGTATGGTCATGATTTTATATCTAAGAGATGATAGGTGTCTCAGATGTTAAACTATGTGGCCAACTATCTGGACGCCCTGTGGCCTGGAGTTATTTTTCTTTGTTTAGGTTAGGCCCCTTTTATGAAAGGAACTCTTAAACATACAATATTTCGGAAAAAAAGTGAGATTCCAACTTTGTCTCAGCACTTTGTGTTTGGCCCTTTCCTTTTTAAACGTGACAATGCCCCTGTGCACAAAGCCAGCTCTGTAAAGAAATGTGTGGCTGAATGGGAGAAGAAGAGTGGAGGCTAGAAGCACATTAATGTCCCTACTTTGCAATTGCATTTTCAACCATCACACATGGCTGGAATGTTTGACGTCCGCATACTTTTGGCCATGGAGTGTATGTCATATCTGAAATAGTATGATTATGAAAATAATTTCAAATGTCCCTGCCCAAGATAATTACACAAATGTTTTTTTTCAGCCATCCATCACAGCCTACGATTCCTCCCACTCTCACTCTCTGACTCGGAAACAGATTTTTTAAAGGTTCAGGTAACAACATGTTTAAGCGTCCTCCTTTGTTTGCATTGTAAAATGTCCAAATGGAGAATGTTGTCATACTGGGAGTTTGGATGAAAAGTTCTAGCATGATAGGAATCTCTGCAGCATCATGCTTTCCAACAGACCACATTCCTCCTGTTTCCCCTCCTTCACAGAGGAGGAGTGTAGATGTGTTTCTTCCTTTTCATTCTCCATTTTATCAAGACTAACACTGGAAAAACAGTCCTTCATAATGTCCTTGTCCAAGTCACAGCCAATCACAACAGGTGAAAAAAATTGTTACATATGTAAAACGAAACAAAATAATGTGAAAACTAAATCATAAAGAAATGCACTCTTTTCTGCTCATCTCTCTCTTTTCCATTTTCCCTATTCTCACTCCCCTCTCATTCCCCTTTTAGTCCAACATTTGCGGTCTCTTCATTAGTATCTGCTGTATGTATTTCTCCAGATCGTCACGGTTGATGCTGTGTGGTTTTCCAGCCACATAATAATCATTATTTCTCGTCACTGCAGGTGCCGGGGCTGAGTCATAAAACTGCTTCTGTTGAGGAGGGATCACCGGCATACGGGGAGGGGCACGTGGTTTGGGGATGGGTAATGTCCAGGGGTAAAGTGGGAGGGGGTAGCTGGTGAAGTAAGGCTTCTGCTGGAGACCTGCAGGCGGGGTTCGCAGCTGGGGTTGGACCCAGTTGTGGTAACGGCGTTTGGGAGGGAAAGTGAATGCAGAATTTCCCAGAAAGTTGTTAAGGGTGAGACTGGGTTTGGGCACATAGTAACGTTGTTTGGGTCTGAGGGGAGGAGGAAAATAGATGGGGTAGTAGTCTGGGTAGGGCTTCCTCTGGTAATGGGATGGGTATTTGTAGGGGTAAAAAGGGTAGCTGGTCCCAACATATTTGGGTGATTTGAGCCAGAGTTCCTGTTTGACTGGCAGAGGCTTCTGAGGTTTGGGCCAAAGATTTTGATTGGCTAGCAGAGGCTTTGCAGGTTTGCTCCAGAAATCTTGTGATTTTGTTGGCGATTTCTCCTGAAACCATGTTTTGAGGAGATTGACAGCTGGAGAGGGTTGCTTTGAGACAGGGGAGCTACTTTTGATGGTTGATATTTGGGATGTTGAAACACCATTGGCAGATGAGAATGAAGGAGACAGCGGAGTTAGAGGTCGTTGCCAGTGAGACGGCCTCTCAAGCGGCACGTCTTTCTTCTTCTTCTTCTCCACATCGCTTATGATATCCACCACATCGTCAGCAGGAAGATGGAGCTTGCTGGAGATCTCAATCAGCTTGTCGATGGTCTGGGGATCAATATCATCTTCCTCTGTCACTTCCTCATCAGACCTCTTGTCCTCCGCAGTGCTTGACAAAGATGAGCTGTACTTCTTATGCCCATTATGCTGTTTGACCATGTAGCGCAGCAGCATGTCCGAGGCGATGTCGGCCAACTTCTCCTCCTCCATCTTGGCTCTCTGTGCCTCAGCCGCCTGCCTCCTCATCTCTTCCTGCTCTGCTTTGACCTGAGCTTCCTCCTCTTCGGGACTCAACGCCTCCTCATCTTCCTCCTCCTCCTCTGGTTCATTATCATGAATCACCTCCTGCTCTGTGGGAAGCTGGGACTGGGCTGGATTACTGCCAGCATAATTACTGTCTTCAAAGTCATCCATAAAATTGCCTCCCCTAAATATGGGAAAGGTCAAGGCTTTCTGCGTCTCCTCTTGCCATTTCAGTTTCTTCTTAGACATGGTGAGGTCGCTGCCTTTGTTGATTGGTATGATGTCGTTGTAGCTGCTGTAGCCTCTGCTCTCTCTCTGGATTTGCTCTGAATCTCCCTCCTTCTTTATGGCTGTGTTCAAACGAGGAAACTCCTTCATCATGGTCTCGAGGTTCTTCAGCTCCTCAGGACTGAGCTGCTCCTCCTCCTCCTCGTTGCTGCCTTGTTCAGGGCTGTTTGGTCCCTGCTGGAGCTGCCTGTTCTCCCCTTTTCCATCTGGACTGGCAGGCTGCTGCTCTGTTTGGACCTGGACTGTCTGGCTTGTGGTACGACTGGTCACCTTCTCTGTCATCTTCTCCTCTTCTTCCTGAGCTATCCTTCTCTCCTCTTCCTCCTCTCTTTCATGCTCCTTCCCTTGTGCAGCCATCAGCAGGTCTAACTCCTGCCGTCCATCTCTGACTCGGTCTGCTCCCTCCATCGTGCTAACTTCTCTGTATGCCTCTTCTTTTTTAACCTCCCCATTCTCAGCCTTCAGCCTCAGCTCTTCTTCCCTCCCATCCCGCTCCTCTCCCTCCCCCCTCTTCTCTACTTGTGAGCGATTCAGTGCCTCCAGTAAAACTGCTGCTAGTGTTTTGAGATCCACATCTTTAAAAAGCTCCTCTTCTTCCTCTGCCTCTTCTTTCTGCATTGATTGTCTCTCCTCATCCTTTCTTTGCCTGTCTCCTGACTCTAGTAGCCCCGGAGGAGTATCTCTGTGTCGGTTATTGACATCTCCAGGGGTGTTGATTGAGTTGGGGGTGGACAGATGGAAGAAGGTAGCCCCTGTCAGGAGGACCAGGAGGGTAAGGCCACTTGAGGAATTATGGAACCCAATCATGGCCACTCAGAACAAGGCCTGCTGTGAGCAGCTAAGGGGGTCAAAAATACCTGGAGGAGAGAGAAAAAGCACATCTTGAGTTTCAATAAGTGAATAACTTCTTGCCTTGGAGATACCACAGCATAGTATCATAGAAATGTTGTCCTTGACGATTCTGCACCTCAAGATGCTTCTGCTCAATGCTATTACAATAATACAGGGATAGTTACACAATATTACACTGGAAGTCACACCTAGTCCCAAGGAGACTTGCGGATTTATCACAAGTGGCACACTATAGAAGGGCGGAAAGTAAGGGTGTGGAAGTCAGGATGATGAATGAAGCTTATCTTGTGCGGGGTCATGAAGAATCCCCAGCCAGCTGGACGCTGGGAACCAGGACCTTCTCACTGCGGTGACAGTGCTGAACAGCTGAACCCCTGTACCACACTGTACCAGGCTAAAGATTTGAATGAATCCCTTTAAATTTTGACTTTTACTGACCTGTGTTCAGCAACAGTAAGAATAGCAATAAGTCAGGACAAATTTTTATTATAATTTAGTGATGGGTATTAAATTATTTTTGTATAGAACCGAGAACTTAAAAGCTGCCATTGAATGTTTAGTTAGATTTATAATATTTTATTTTGACTCAAATCACATTTGCCCATTTTATGCAGTAAAAATGGGGTTTTGGACAAAAACAGATTTATATTCAAGGAATTGAAATAATGGATTGCTCTGGCATCAGTACCAAAACCCAGGCATTTTATTGGCTTCAATTGAGCTTTATTATCATTATGTATGTATTCATTTGTTTCATTTAAGGAGGTTACGAATTATGCTGCTGAAGAACTGGAAAGCACCATCTTTTGATCGACTGATAAGCCCTACTTTCTCTAATCCGGTGCCAGAGAAAGAAAAAAAATGAACATTAGTGTCATTGTGCATGAACACCACTGCATCTGTAATGGTAGTCTGCTTTAGAGTAACCCTACTCATTTCAGCTCATCACAAAGGACAGCTCTTGGTGCTGCTTTGCAGGGGAGGGACCCGCCGCTGTCCCCAGCGCTGCAGCCTTCAACACAGCGCTCCGAAGCGCAACAAGTGCAGTGACGTTGACGCATTGTTCTAAAATATTACAGCAGCTAAACATAACAGCACGGCCATTCCTTCTTTTCAACAGGCAACACGCATAAACAGCCTATGTCTAATCTCCAGTCTGTGATGTGTGGAAAGTGCACACCTGGGTCTAAAAGATCACTGTGTGGTTCCAGGACGCTTACATTACCTTAACAATAACTCGCTCTTATTTTGGAACCACCGTCAAGCTGCATGGCACCGCCACGCAGTCTGACGTTACAACAATGCAACAGCGTCATAAAAATCTTCTTTATCAAGACAAGTGACAACAGTCTGAGATTAGTTCGCCTGATTAAAGCAGTGAAAACACTGATATTGCAGAGATATTTTAGTAACCTATACTTTTCAAGAACATCTCTGAAACAAGTTTATTTATGATGGAAACGTGTTGAAATTTGAATACACAATATCAGACCAATGCCTAGTTGAGCCGGACATAGCCTATTCTGCAGGGAAGGCAGTGGGGGTGGCTGGATTGCATGGGGATGTGTGATGCTAGATGTGCAAATACGCAGCGAATGATTGAGATAAACAGGATCTAATGTGCATGACCTCACCCACCATACATGCATCTGTCTTATTCTCTCCTGCAAAAAGTATACTGACCTGAGCAAGTGACACTACAGTTTAGGCAAAGTGGATTGCCAATCAGCTCCTAAGAGTCAAGAATCAAGAACATTAAGCCACCTCCAGATTTCTGGCAACACGAGTAACCTCCCCGCAGCCTACACACTAACTGTAAACCTCCAAACCCCCACAAACATGGACGTCAGTATTATGCAGATATTTTAGACACGACAGAAGACAGTCATTCTCTCTGTCTCTCTGGTACTTTTTACTTTGAACGTCACCGCGCCTTAAAGCACGCAAAAGATAACAGCTGAAGCAGCTTAATTGCAACTTCATTCTTCAGTCTGGTTATTTTTGGCAAAGCCAGTCATGGTGATGATGACGATAAATGTGATGATGACGATGATGATGATTATGATGGGGAGGAGGAAGAAGTGGAGGAGGTGGACAGCACGGTCACCACTGTGTTGACCATAAACAAAGAAAAATGGCTAGTCCTAAAAAAAATTCAGCTCCCACATGTGCCGCAGTTATAACACAAAGTCTCATATAACACCGTTCAATATGTTATTGAATGTATATGATCATTCAAATATATTATGTGTCACTGCTCACATATCCAATGGTAAGTGATATTAATATATTAATATTTTCTGATTAAACTATCAAACCTTCTCTAACCAACAAACACGAGAAATCCACCTCCTCTTTAGTAGCCTACACTGTTGACATTTTTTGCTTATGTGAAAAACGGAGCAGGGCTTCAGCATGGTCGCTTTATTTTCTATTTTTAAATTTCTCTATGTTAATAACCAGCCTGCCACAACATATTTCCTTTTTCACAAGAGAAGGTAAAGTAATGCCAATTAAGTTGACCCTTACTTGTAGTTCTGTCGGAGCAGCGGGGGGACTCCAGCTTCCCCTCCTCGACACGTCACACTCAGAGCTGCCAGGAGTCCTGCAGACACACACAGAGCCCGGCTGCTGTGTGACAGCTGTTCTTGTTGTCTAATGTTAAGTGTCGTCACTGTTGTTGTTGTTGTTGTTGTTGTTTGTTGCTGAGTTGCGGCTCTTCCTGCTCCTCTCCCGGGAACTCCACTGCTTGGCTGGTCTGTTTTCAGGACCAAGAACAGCGCTGCGGCTGTCTTATAGTCGCTCTCCCGATCCACGTGATTCATGCGTCAAGCGGTCCCCATTGACGTCACCAGACTTAGTTTCATTCATAAGATTTTTCTGCACCCCCGCCCTAAAATGATTAGTAAACATAGGCACTCCAGTTTCTTTGTAATACAAAGCACATACACAAAAAACTCTCACTTACTGATTTGACCTAAACACGTGTGTGTTTTTTTGAACATGGAGAAAAAAATAGAAATTATAATAAAACTATACTTTATATCACAATATGCGTATATATACATTTTCCTCTTCTTTTGATTCTCCTTTTTTCCATCTAATCTATCCTTTTCATCTTCCTTGTTTATCATGGTGCCTTTTTTCAGTATTTCTCCCTTGCATTCCTGTTTTGCTTCCTTTTCCTCTGCTATTTAAACAAACACAAATAAAAACTGTAAAAAGTAAAAAACATGACAATTACAACTTTTGAGGTTATGAGGTTAACGAAAGATGGGAAGGAGAATTTATAAGGACTTAGGAAAAGACAACAGCAGCTTAGAAAATCCAACTGCTCTCATCTAGGCTATGTAATTATGCGATGGCTGATGTTACTGACGTGGTCTGCCATGGTTTAAACTACAATGTTCAAAAAGCGCATCTTTGCACTTTGCCCTGTGCGCTCTTACCTGTTGTTTTAATGCAGGCCATCTAAAGGTGGACAACAGGTGGAAAATATTACTTCATTACCAAGTTTGCAAAAAGGCATATAGAGTAGGCCTACCTGTCACCAAATAATGGAAATGGTTGTCAGAATGCTTGCTCACGCTCACCCTCCTGCCCACCCATATTTATCAACATGAATCCCAATTATTGTATGTACATAATACATTATATTTACTCATCCTGCTTGGTCCCTGCCTTTATTGAAGGTCCAGTGTATAATATTTCTGAGGATTTATTGACAGAAATGCAATATACGATCTATTACTATGTTTTCAGTGGTGTATAAAGACCTTACATAATAAACAATTATGTTTTTATTTCCTTAGAATGGGCCATTTTTTTTCGTCACCATGGTGTTCTTCTGCTTGTATAATTCCAGCAGTGTAGATGCCGGTATATGAAGGACTGATCCTGACAAATTCAGAAATAAATACAGAAATAAATAAATGCTCAATAAATAAAGCATCTGATTAAATGCACAAAAAATTAAAAAAGATAAATAAATGTAGGCAGTAATTCAATTATACAAGGAGACATAAATGTATATATCTCTTTTAATTAGCTCCTTTATTTATTCACTGTTGTAATAATTACCTTATTTATTTAGTCCCTTATAATCTTCAACTTTATTTATTAATTACTACTTTTTTAAATGTATTTATATACTTGTGTGTGTGTTTTAATATTTTTGTCTGTTTTATTCATCCTTTGCATTTCTACTATTTATTTCCCCAATGGTATTTATTTCTGCCTGTCCTTTTTACATTTCTCTATGCATTTCTGCCTCATTATGCAAATGAGGAGGGGCTGTGTCTCAAGGGGTCATCTTCTCCCCTATTGGTGGACCAGTCAGACAACAGAGGTGGACTCTAAACTCACACATCAACAAGCTTGCTCCCCACAGAGTCACAAGAGATGGCTTCCTTTAGTGAACTGAAGTGATTAGCAACTCTGTCTGAGGATGATTCCGTCAGTCATGTCTTCCTTCCTTTTCGTGTAGACGCTCCGACAGACAGTGCTTTCAGTTTGCTGCATGCATGGACACAGAACTGCGGTATAGGGAGAAGCACACGGTCAGCTGGCTGCAGCTAAATCTGGAGTGCACTCGTATTCAATTCTGTATGGTAAATTCAGTTTTAACGGAGCAGAGCGAGCTGACAGGCAGAGTTAGAGACTTTTTCTGTCCGTTTCTCTCTTTACAAAGACGCATGTTGCAGTCAGAGTCTTCTCTGAAGAGGGCAATGAAGTCTCAATAATATGTGATGGGAGCACCACATAACATAACACCAACATAATTTATCAAATTACGTCAGACAGCACAAAGATACACATGCCACAATGTCCGGTTTTCAAAATAAGGTGATAACACAACAGATATACAGTATGAAAATAAGATTAATTGGATTATAATCTATTAAAAGTAAAATAACACTAAAATGGCAGGGAAATTACTTTACTTAGATTGAAGTACTGAAGTTGTACATTGAAATACCTTCCTTCCTGATAGGAAGTCTTCTTGAGGTGGTATAAAACAAATTTCTCCTTAAATTCTGATTTGAGTTGTGGACAACTCAAATGAAACATTTCACTGCCCAAGTCAGGATTGTACATACTTTTGGTACATTATTCCAGATGAGTTAACCCTCCCCAGATGTAACAACATGCATGATAACAGTCCAGTAAAATAATGTATTACAGGAGAATGCCACATCATGTAGCACTTCATTTATTTATGTCGCATTAAGTCAAATGCACCTTATACAAGTATATCAGGCTGCAGCCATGCAGAACCTCCAAACCACTCCCATTATCATAATTTGTTATTAGGAAGATAGCAAAGCAGCTGCAGCTCAAAAATACATTGAAAATGTTATTAAAGGTAGCAATTTTAGCGACTATTTTGGTAGACTATGAATTATTTTAGCCTAACTGCTAAAAATATATTTATACATAAATTTTGATATTTATGAATATCAAAATGTATTTTTTTCTATATTTTATAATGTGAATAATTAAAGGACACAATGCAAATAAGAGTTGATGAAACTCAGGAAAAAAATAACAACCCATGAACCATTTTTGGAAGTTTTACTTCCTTCAAGTTCCTTCACATCCTGCGCTGTTGCTGAACCCTTCTTGAATATTGGCTTGTAGATGTGTTCAGGGCGGACTCTTATCAAATGTGTAAAGTTTGGTACAGATTTGAGCATGTGTAGTGGAGTTACAACAACTTCCTGTTTCATGGTGAAACAGCAATGTTTGACGCCACAACACAACATGCCTGTTTAAACAATTCAGCAGCCAAACTCACAAGAAGTGTGATCCACCTACACACAGCCTTATCAACCTCCACACCATAGCCTAAACTGGGAGACCAAACCTAATCTGGGATCTGGGAATGTGTCCCCCCATAAACTGTGTGTCAACACAGATACTATTTTCTTTCATTGTAGTAAATTTTCCTGAAATGCAAGTCTACTGGTTTAGTTTCAGCTGTGGAGGGGACAAATAAAGAGGAAGTTCTTTTAAGTCAGTTCTAACCTCCTGGACTTTAATAGTTCCTGTGTTTCAGCAGGTTTTCTGCTCATGTTCAAAACTTTCTGCACATTCAGAATATCTCCAGAAAAATCTCACAATATTACAAGACTAACGTCATAATTTCACCATCCAGACACCATCTCCACATTTAAGAGTAGGCTTAAGACTTTCCTCTTTGATAAAGCTTATAGTTAGGGCTGGCTCAGGTAGTCCTGAACCATCCCTTAGTTATGCTGCTATAGGCCTAGACTGCCGGGGGATTTCCCATGATGCACTGAGCTCCTCTCTCCTCTACTTTCTCTCCCTCTGTATGCAACCTCATCCCATTATTGCATGTTACTAACACAACTTCTCCCCTTTCTGGTAGTCTTGTGCTTTCTCGTCCCTCTCCTCTCTCCTCCTATCACTTCCTGCAGGTTTTCTGGCTCTGGAGCTGTGGAGTCTGGATCTGTGGTTGCGGGTCACCTGCTGCCCCCGTGTTCCTGCTCGACACCCTCTGCTACAACAACTATTGTTACTAGTCCTATTGTTGTTATTGTTATTATAATCATTAACATTACGACTGTTATCATTAACACTACTATAAATATCTGTACCATTTTTCATTCAGTCTATAGCAACATCACCTTTACTGTCTGTACCTCTGTGTGTATATTGTGTAGGCTGCCTCCCTCCCCTCTCTCTCTCCTTCCATCCCTCTCTCTCTCTCTCTCTCTTGCCCTGTCTCTCTCTCCCTCTCTCTCTCGCTCTCTCTCTCTCTCTCTCGCTCTCTCTCTCTCTCTCTCTCTCTCTTTCTCTCCTTCACCCCAACCGGTCGAGGCAGATGGCCGCCCACCCTGAGCCATGGTTCTGCTCGAGGTTTCTGCCTCTTAAAGGAAGTTTTTCCTTGCCTCTGTCGCCTAGTGCTGCTCTTGGTGGGAACTGTTGGGCTTCTGTAAATAGCATCACAGAGTACGGTCTAGACCTGCTCTTTTATGAAAAGCGCTGTGAGATAACTGTTGTTGTGATTTGGCGCTATATAAATAAAAATGAATTGAATTGAAATTGAATTGAATTTCATGAGAATTCATTATAATTTTAATTCCACCTGGCCTCTATTCTGCTGTGCATTATGTTATTGATCTGCTGGTATATAACTATCCCCTTTAGACCGTTTGACTGACACAGTTTGGGACAGCATGCTGCACATGAAATCGAAAACAACCAAAAACACTACTGCAAGCAGAAATCTCACCGCAAATCCCCACGTTAACTTCAGCAGCTCTGGTAAAGTGCAGCTCACAGTCCAAAACAGAACAAGGCTGCACTTCAGTTTTAAGATGTTTGTATTGCAAAACTCTACCAGTTACGTTACTGTCTGGACTCACAGCGCGAGGTGCACTTGATTAAGTGTCGCAAACTTTCTCTTGCGGCGCCCCTGACAATTTCCACCCCAGGCAACCGCCTATGTCGCCTATGCCACCGGCCGGCCCAGGGCCCACATACTAGCTTTTTGGAGCATCTCAACCACATCTCACAGTCTTCACCAGTGAATGAAAGCGGCATCACGTGACCCAACGTGTGATTAAGATCTCTGAGATCTAAGATCTCTTAGAACCCCCTCGAGAGGAAGACTGGAGTGAAGTATGACATCATTATGACATCACATGTGACAGCTGTGGGGAGCAATAAATGAAATACTACATTTCTATGACTTGTCATTTATCTACCCATCTACTGTATATAACGTTTGCTTTTTGTGAATAACATAAAGGGAAGTAGAGTAAAACAGGAAGTTCCCTGGAGGAGAGACTGAATGAACACCAGAAACAGACGCCAGCTATCTGTGATCCAGACCATGACGTGTATATTTGTTAAATGAGTTGAAGCTGCAGAACCAGAAAGTTCAGTATTTCCTAAGCTGCTGCTGGTGTTAGTGTTGGGAGTTAACCCACTCATTACATGTTTCAAAAACTGCTGATGATACAAGGAGGGTGACAGGTGGAGGATGTCATGGAAATTGTTTTCCTGGTGAGGGGTTGAGCAAATAATTGAGTAACAACTTTCTTCTTTGAAGAATTTATTTAACAAAAGAGAACAAACAGAGAAGTACTACAACAAATATATCTGGTCCAGAGACCGGCTGCCTAGGGCGGCTTCGGGTGGCTTACACAGAGCAAAGGGATGCATAATTATTTACACAGTCTAGGTTTCTATGTTTTGGGGAACAGAGATCCTCTCTCAGCCTTGAATGAACATTCCATGAGAGTAGAGGAACAACAAGAGAGTGAAACACCAAAACAATCTCACAGCTCTGACCTAAACCCCAGTAAATGTGGTGTGTTTTATATTTTTTATTTGCTGCCCAGTTCATTTCACACAGCCTGTCGCTGCCGTTAAAATAAATAGGTTTCATTTTTCTTATGTGAGGCTGAATATTATGAGCAGTTTGGTAGGGATATTGAAAGTAATTTTAATATGAACGTAGGCTATTCATTTTAGCTTAGTAGCTATCTTCTATCTACAGAGCTAGGCCTATCTATATTACACAGACTGGTCACGTTCCGCCCCACCTTTCGCGATGTGAGCTTCGTTACTTTATGAAGTTAATTTAAAACAATATTTGTAACTCTTTTTAGTGTGTTAAATAAATTGATCTCATTTTTGAAGTGACAAGAAGTTCTTAAAAGTGAGATGAACCGGCCACTTATTCAGTGCCTCAGTCTTTAATGTGGAAACGCTGACACACAGCCGAGCTGATGGAATAAGGCTAATATTTTCATACACGCCAAAAGTACACATCAAATCAACGCATTATTATAGACTTCTGTCTCCCTCTCTGCATGTACTGCAGCTGTCTTACTTAGACTAGGGGAGACGGGGTATGGCTGTAACATGGGGAGAGTTGTAACAACACCAATTCCACCAAATAGAGATAACATAGGAGTTAGCTGATCATTTCAGAATTTACCTACTTCCTCCCCAATCAGGCATGGTGGTTATCCAGTCTGGAAGCAGGCATATTCAGAATATATAGAAAAAAAACCTGATTTTGAAGTAAGAAAGTAAATTTTTTGACCAAAACTATTTTTTGTTTAGTATCTATACTATCGCAGATAGAATTATTAGACTGAAATGTACTTTCTCAGGCAACATGTGATGCATTATTTCCTTTCTAATTTCAAACCACTAGGGTAATACAGCTAGCTAAACATTGGCTGACAGGGATGGGGTGTGTTGTGACACTTCTTCAAAATGTGTTACAGGTACTTTCTTGATTTGGGCCCACCAAACCAGCACTCCAGGGTTACCAGCATTCATTTGTCAGCACTGTGACCAGTACGTCCCATTCACATATTGTAGGGGTAAACCGGGGCGAAAATAACATGGGATGAAAGTAACATGGCGATTTTCTCAGAGCCCTGACTGCGTTTGCAGTCCAAGCTGTGACAGCACCTTCAGCACGCAACCCTTGATGGAGCTGCCAAATATCGCATGATTTTGTCATCGTTTCCTGTGGCCGTCTCCGGAAAATTGTTTTTGAGCATGGCAAGTCAATTTCTGAAGCAGGACTGTTTATCGAATTACAAGCTGTGTCTCTCGTTTCATGTGCCACAATAAGGATTAATCTACAAGTTATTTAGTGCTTTAACAGAGTTAAAAGAGTTTTTCAGTGTAAAAATAAATCGTGTTTATATGTCAGGTTCATAAACAATGTCCATTTTACCATTTCCCCCCTGTTTTAGGTGTCCACATTTGCATATTTATATTATATATTTATAATATTTCCTTAATATAATATGAAATATTCTAAACAATTCAAGTTTGGGCTGTCAGGTTACTTTTGAAACTGAATAGTTAAAATAAAATAAAAATGTCATTATATTGTATTTTTATTTATTTTTTTAAAGATAAAGGACAAAGGATGTTTGCACTTACACATTAACAAGGTCACAGTCATGTTTATTTATTAAATACAAGGGTGGTAACACAAAAAATCTAGCTTGTATTGTTGTGTTCCTTTTGTCCCAGCTGACAGGGTCGAAAGTAACAATGTGCCACTTATGTTTAAAGTGAAATTATACGGAAGTCGTTGATATTGATAGAGCACACCTGTGAGTTAGTGACCACAGCAAAAATATATCTCTGTCTGAAACATTATCTTTTAAAATCAGGTTTTTCTGAAAAATGGTACTTTCGCCCCTGCTCTCCCCTACACATGTTGGTGTATGTATCGTCACTCGACATTTTCCATACTCAGTCTCCCCCGGTGGAGAGGAAAGTTGTATAGAAAAGCGTATGGACAGCTTGTGACAAGTGCCTGTGTGCAAGAAAAAGTCCCGGTACGCCAAAGAGTAAAATATAGAAGTGCTGTTATACGTACCGGTGAATAGGTTACTGGCCCACTTCAAGCACTGACTTTGACTCTGAATAAGAATACACACACACACACACACACACACACACACACACACACACACACACACCTTTATAGTTAGACCTAAGGATGTACAGAGACGTTCTTTAATTAGGAACATTTAAGCAGTATTTATTAAGTATACTTTTAAGTAAGTTTATTTATTCTATAGATAAATTTACATACACATACTGTTCATGCACGTGAGTCATCAGACAAGGTCTGTTACAGCAAGAGAGAAACATTGTTCTGTTTTGCAAACTTATCATATAGCGTGGCAGCTATTTTTGATTCTTCTGTGTGATTGTTACAACTTACCCCAGCATGGGAACACATTGCATTTGACATCAACTCACGAGGTCTGTGATATTCTTGTAGAGGATTGAATTGGTGCATTTGTAGTGAATAAATGTGGGTACTTTGTATAAAAATTTGAGAACTCTAGCAAAGAAATTCAGTCAGTTATAGTTACTGAAGCAAAAAGTGTTACAACCATACCTGGTCTCCCTATGTCGTATTTGTTTTCATATTATAGTTTGCTCTTCCTTTGTAAAATATGATGCTCTGCTGCCAGTAGACTTGTTCATGTCTGCGATTGGTCATCTGCTGCTAATACCTTAACACGCTCATGGCTGGATTTGGAAACCCTGGTGGACCAGCTTTGTGTGACCACTTATCCTGATCCCAGTTGCAAGGTTAGTGAAGCAACTCGTGAACATGTCCAATGCCTCTAATAGAGAAAGCATGTCCCCAGGGCTTTGAATGCATCTTATTAGCATAACACTGTTGATTGTAATTTATAAAGTAATACATTTAGCAATCTACATTCTTGTTTATCGCGCACAAAAACAACTTGATTCAAACCCAGCTGCAATCTGGATCTTTTTAAAATCTCGCTCATAAGCTGGTTTCTTCAGACAGTATGCACTGTCACCCTCTTCTTCTCTTCCTGTTGTTTTTTTGTGTTTGTTCCTAAGGAGCCATAGCCTGACATCCTAAAGTGTAGTCAGTGCGTTGGAGTGGCACTTAGTGCCTATGTCTCTCAGCTAGTCAATTTGAAATGTGAACTGAGGGCCCACAATTGTGGTACAGCTCTGGAATAAGCTTTCCTTTCCTATAGTACCTGGAAAGGGCGTTTATAGCCTCTCTGAAGCCACTGATGTCTCCTGTGGCACTTTCCCCCCATTTAGACTTGACTTTGACTTTTTTTTCCCCCCTGTAACACTCATTAATGTGTAGATTACCTAAATCTATGACACGTTTGATGCAAATCTTCAGATGATCACCTCACTGGTTCTTCTGTGATCTGAATACAATGCATCACTGACGTGCTGCTCTGACAGGAACGAGTGTGAGACAGTTCAGACAGTTCCCCCTTTGCCCATGTGGTCTCCTCTGTGAACTAACTTAGCATAACAGTGGAAGAGAGCATGTGGCGAACTGGACCATATTTTGAAATAAAAATCTGATTCTGCAAAGTAACTAGTGACTAAAACTGAGACAGCGAACTGCCAACCTGTCCCATACTAAGCAGAGAGCTTCTGGAGAGCTGGTGAGTGGGGTATGAGGCGCTGTCCCTCACTCTCTGCTCCGGTCAGACTCTCAGCCAAAACAGTAGCTCTAATGCTTAATGTTTAAAAGTAATTTAAACAACAGAGAGAGAGAGAGGGGTAAGACTAAAACTTTTTAATTGTAATGTATTGAATGTGCCATTCATCTCAGTTAAGTGAATGCAACTATAACTGCAAACATATTTGACAGCTACAAAATAATGTTTTTTTTAATAAATAACTTAAAGCAGCTTTTGTTAAAGTCACATTATTTGTTGAACATCCATTCATGAACATGTCCTCCCCAAAAATCTTTTGTGGCTATGCCAATTCCTCCTTTGTACTTTACAGACATGAGACATAATTCATACATATTCATGCTACTTAAACATAAATACAGGCCATTTTAGACACTTAAGTCATTTTTCTTGGGAGGACAGTCTTATGGTGCCTCATACAGTTGGGTTATGTTCTCAACATAAATGTGTATAAAATAATATATTTATGAAAGTATGAAAACATTTACTGGGAAATCTTTGGAAAGAATTGCAGTATTGGAACATCATGACTTTGGATGATATGTTTTTCCAAGCTCTCTATTTTTATGTGCAATACCTGCTGTTTGCACATACTCTGTTTACCAATAGGAAGAGGAATTCCACTTACTCATACACAAGCACAGACAGTTACAAAATATCAGCAACACAATGTTTCATTCAGTTTAAAATCTTTTATTTCGTTATAAAATTACATTCACACATTGAGTCCCTTTAGCCTTTGCCTGTACAACACTATAAAGATTCCCAGAGCTTCCGCTTTCCAACACTAGGGCCCCTTTACAGCTCTCTCAACCACCTTTTCTTCTCTTTCTTGTAGGGAACAAACAAATTTTAACAAGATTTAAAATCAAAACTACAATCACTAAATTGATTAAGCCGTTGCATATGATGAGCCGATTGACCAGCTTGACAAAGGCTGGGTTTAAATAAATCTTACCCAATGTAGAAGAACATTATTCAACACACTATTCAAAGAAGGTCCATAAAGGAGAAAAGGGGCAGCAGAGGTGAAGGTTAATTATAAATAGCTTTGGCTGCAAGTGGGTGCATTTTCAGATGTACAAAAGTTTGTGAAACCAAAAATAAGGAGGCTATTTCCAATTTGTTTTACTTTCTGAAACAGACAATCCATGCCCACCTCACACAGCAATTGGCAAGGTGTGCGAAGAAGTGAAACTTGATGTTACCTTCGTCATTTCACGTGTGTACAACAAAGTGCAACGCCATAAAGAGAGACTGAGTGTGAGCCGTTTTTGCATCATGACTAAAAAGATTTATGTAACACAAACAAAATACTTGGCGGGAGACAGTGGGATGCAGAATAGAGGAGGCAACAACAGCAGGCTTTCATCCCACCTTCCAGTGTGGACAATCAGGACAGCTAGAAACATGTTTGCTTTTAGATGTGATTAGAGAACATGTACTACAAAGTAGTTTGTTTGACATTGACATTAGTAAGGCCTTCAGGGCCACAGTCTGAAAAAAGGACAATATTTAAAATGAAGACTTTTCTCAGAATATTCTATGAAATCTTAGAACTCAATTCATTTGTCCCTAATGCTATTTCACATCCTGCACAGGCATCAGTGGCAATCTGATGGATTTGTTTTGCTGCAGTTTTCAGCAGATTGTACCTCGGCACATTTTCAGACTCTCTTCCCCATGTGCTTTTCTTTTTCATTTGTTCCACTACATGTAGGCACAGTACATCACTCTATCCCTAACATTGTAGAAAACATTTAGATCACAGTGCGACCTTACTCTTAGAACACTGACGTTGAGCGTTCTATTACAGTCACCTGAGCTGCGGTTGAACTGATTCTGCAGCATTTTGATCTGAGTGAGAAACTTAGCTGATGTGGTCAATAAGTTTGTCATGAGCCAAAATTCTGACTTCTTATTTAAAAAGCAAAAAACAATCAGACTATGTTTCAATGAATAATTGTAATCCATTTTCACTTGAAGAGATAAATAGATATATATTTTTATCTCACTATGGTTGCAGTAAAGCAACTCTTTGAGCAAAACAGTCCACAGTCAAGCTCAAGCTACAATCCTCCTGTAGACTCCAGCTTCCAACTTTAAATCTTTCCTTTACCCATTTTGCAACAACCACATAAATTTCCTACTAGAAATGAGAGAGAGGTTTTTGTCCAGAACTCCTGAGAGGACACTGTACAAACGATATCCCTGTATAATGAAAAACATGCCTACATTTTGAGGCAATACCAGGACGATTTTCCTCTGTAGGATTACATAAGATTGTAAAATGTAACAAAACCCTAGAAGTGACAACCACTGAAACAAGACATCTAGAATTAATATAATGATATAGCTTAAGAGAAATTATTTTCAAAAAATATTTGACGGATTCAGCTGAGTGAAATTAGCAATTCATTCATTTTTTTCCTAAGATACCATATGACTTGCCTGATGAGACAAGCTGAGTGAACATGTTTAAGCATGAATTTATTTTCGTGAATAGTTTTTCTGGTTTTCTAAAATCTGATTCACTCTACAGTATATGATGAATAATCAGTTATGAGCTTTTGGATTAACCCTACATGTGATTGCACAGAAGTTTATAGTATATGCTAACATTCTCATCCCTGTCCACAGCTTTTTATGAAGTGAACATGTCATGCATAAGAACACACCAATGCACACACTAACATTAGATTAAATACCAGGAGTGCGACAGTTCATATTCACTCAGTATTATCTGGTACGGTTTTGGTTCCAATTTTGGAATATTTGTCTCACCAGTTAAAATGATAAATATTGACCGCAACAGATTATTTCAACTGTAGCTTGTTCCACACATACATTTAATTCCCTTGCTTGGCTGTCTGGATGTGCTATCTGAAAGCTGGTGTCTGTACTCAGTAAAATGTCATTTCCACCACTCTGTAACATCACTCTGACTACAAGTAGACAAGTGCTTTTGTAATTCAATAAGGCCAACAGAGTGGTGAGTCTTCTATGATGAAAATCTATGTAGGTGATCACGTCACATCTCTTTCAGGAGCTGGAATCTCCCAGATCAACAGTTTCAGTTTATTACCTTAATAGCACTGGATCAGGACTTCCAGTTCTTGGAACAAGTAGGTAATTGCTTTTGCAAAGTAGACTCCGCCTGTCATTTCAATTTGGGTTTGGATTATTTATTATCTTTAGTTAGATTCAATGAGTTTAGTCAATTCTGGACAGATTTAATAAAATGCAATCAAACTCCAGCCTTATGTGTAAGCATAAACATAAGATTTTTTGATTTGTAGGACCACACAAACATTTCCCAGAAACGTTCACTACACCTGCCCACTCAATGACACTGAATGATTTATACAAGCCGATCTGAACTGAGTCAAACCTAAGGCAAGCTGAGACAGAAAAAACAAAAACTTGAGGTATGTACCTACAATGATCCTGGTAAACTGCTGCGCCACTATATAATACATTCAAAACTGGTTGCCACCCTTTAAGAAATGCACTTTGTTTAAATTAAATGATTAACTAACTTGAACAATGCAGGCACCACTTACAGGAAGAACATGTGTGATCCTGGTCTTTCCATGACTGACTTCCATTACTCATGCTGATGCTCATCCTGCCTGAGATGGCACTTCACACAGACATCCAACCTAGATCACCAGCATCATTAACAACCGCACATTCAAAAGATAAATTATAACTGGGGCTGAAACGATTCATCGATTAAATCGATACATTTGTTTACTCAAATTCTTTGCATCGAGGCTTCATTTAAGCAATATAACTATATAGCACACTGTTATATATATAGCATTACTGTCGCAAATCGGGCTTACGTTGTGAACAGAACGTGATTATGATGATTATTGTTTGCAAAGTGGAGGAAGAGAGAGAAAATAGCGAGGGACGAAGAAGAAAGTGTCCAAAGTATGGGATTATTTCAAGTTAAAAGAAAACAACTCTGTAATGTCACAGTCCGTCCAGCGTAAAATAAAACTTATGTGGCCTAACAGCACGACGGCATCTGATCAGAAATCACCCGGTGTTCTGCCACAGACAAGGTCACATTTTGCCGCCAAGCAAAAGTACTTCTAACGACGCATCAATGAATCGTTGAAATAATCTATAGAAGCTTCAAGTACTAAAATCATTATTAGCTGCAGCCCTAGTTTCCATCAATGTTCTCTTTGTTAAAGTTAGACAAACTCGACATTTCCATCTCATCTGGTACATCAGTCCACTTACTAAAAAAGTAAAGTAAAAAAGTTATTTTAGGCTGTGATGGAAATCTCAAATGCCTTTGGTTCATTATTCAAAATCCACAATGCAGTTCATCACCCCGGGCCCATCGTGTTAGGTTAGATGGGCCAACCCCAGAAAAAAATGAATTCCAAGAAAATTTTATAGAAATTCATAAAACATCAGATCAAGTAATTGTAACAGATGTTTATGACAAACGTCTCACGATTAAGAAGTGTTGGATCATCTAGCTTTGAACTGTAAATTTCATCTTTCTGAGCTACTTCCTGCTTCAAATGTGACCGACAGTACCTATAGTGGTTGTGTGCGCACTTGTGGTTGCTCCTATAAAATGGCAGATAATATAATATTGGGGGTTGCCTTATGTACCTTAAAACAATAAATAGCAGAGTCTCAAATAGCTGCCTACCCCGTTTACTGGCCTGGTGTGGGAACAAATTTTGACAAATAAATGCAGGTCTCCATTAAACGCCTCTTAAACCCCTCCGGGTCGCCTGCTTTAGCCGCTTCTAAGCTGCTTAGATCGTTAAAGTATTTAAAAGAAATCCCTGTTAGCAAAAACCTCAGATGTCCTCTTCTTCTAAACACTCTGTTTTGAACTGCTTTTTCTACCAACGGTTCTGTTCTACGACATACGGAACCAGACGGAGCTGGTGTTCCATATATGGTCATTTGTGCCGCACAGCAACGCTCGGTCTGTCAGTACCACTCAGCGGCAACAACAGCCTGGTAACATGCTTCAGGTCTTGGCCAATCAGAAGACAGTAGGCTTTGAAGCTGACTTTTTGAGTAATGTTGCTGGGCAATCTTACTGGTGGTAAGTCCGACTATGTTTTGAATGGACAGCGGCGGGGCGGAGGAGTGGTGGGAGAAGGGGATTATGGTGGTAATCTTTACTCATTAGCATTGACGGCAACATTGCCCAGCACCATTGCTCTAAAGGTTGCTCTGTGTATCATCAGCTTGAGAGGGGAGGCTCTACAGCTTGTTTCAGACAGAGGCTGAAATGAAGGCCAGACACTTCAGTGGTGGAACAAACATTCTGTTTCTGTGTTTCAACTGCACAGTGTGTGTTATTTTCCTTGTTATATGTTGTCAAGTACATAACCAATGGGAACACAGGATTGTATAAACACAGAATTGTACTTTAATGGTAAAGTTTTTCTGATTGTTACCAAATCCCATGTGCAGAGCCAAACCAACAATGAATGTATCATACAAACAAGTACTTAGTGTATCAAAACCTGATACTGCATCTTTTCTATGCCATATTCTTTTCCAAAACCTATTAAAAACAAACCCATCAGTAAGCCTGTTGCAGTGTGACGCATGCCTTCATTACCATGGACACACACTGTAGTTTACTTTTGACCAATTCCACATACAGGAAACATGCTGGAAATAAACACTAGAGCAGAAAATGCAGATTATTCCGCCACTGAAAATAGTCCCCATCAAATGCACTACACCCTAGTAACCAGAGTAACGTTTGTTAAAAACTACAGCGGCCAACTGTTTTAGGAAATTACTGAGTCTATTTTTTATTTTTTTTAACGAAACTACATTTGTGACCTCTTTATAGTATTCATTCGTACAAACCAATGGGCTTGGGGCAAAGAGAAACAGACAGGGTATGAAAATGAGAAAGTACTCATATATAGACTAACACATTGTTAGTTTTGGTCTTTTCATGAGAAATGTTGATACTGAAATACAAAAAATATTGATTGATCAGACACGCCCAGTTATGTTTTTCTGTCTAATTTCCTTACCTGTTGTCAATCTACCTTCAGTACCTGACAAAACTTCACGATGAGAGTGGTCACCCATCCCTTTGCATCAACGCATCAGTCAAACTACTAATGTCAGTATTCATTGTGGGTTTTATCTTAACTGTCAGATAAGCAAAGCTGGACTCCATCTCACCTCTTTAAAAATTAGAACACACAACCCTCCTGCAGCCACACACAAGTTTAAATTTATCCCAATCCCTCTACCCCACACACAGATCACACAAACACGCACGCACGCACACGGATAAAGGGCCTGTCAATGCAATAATCTTCCATTCTTAACTGAGTCTATTCCCCAGTTAAACACAGTCACCAGAGCCACAGATAACACAGAACCAACATCGTCAGTCCAAGCATGTTCAGTCCCAGATTCTGTCCCGTCCCATCATTCAGCCCTCTGCTCTAGTATCTACAGTCTCTCATAATGCTGCCGTATACTACGCCAAGCCCATTTCCTCCAACACGCTCCTAGGGGACTCATCCTCCTGTAAAGGGAAACACAAAAGCGTTAGAATGGAGGACTCGGTTACACTTAATACTATTTAAAACAAAAACAAATAAAACATATAATAGTAAATGGCTAATTTTAACTGCCACTATCAGTGTTTCCTAGCAATTACCTGAACTGTAGCGGCCTGTCTAATTTATCCCTCCCGCACAGTTTCATAGTGAACAGATTTTTACACTCACCCACAGCGTGTTTGTTAAGCCAACAGCAAGGGTCATGAACAAGCTAAAACGTAAGCTGTCTGTATGCAGTATAACTGTTTATCTTCGTTGGCCATGACCCTTTAAATTTGGCAAATTCTTGTAAACTCAGCTGCTGGCTGAGATGGCAGCCCCACTTCTAAACCAGCCCCTGCACTCCTTACAAGTGATACCTGCAGGCAGTGAATCACAGAAGCAGCAGAGGAGGACTGACACTCACTGATGTCTGTGTTCTTCCATCTTTCTGATTGTCACTCACTATTTTGATCTCAGGAATATGATTTATTTTACTCACTTTTAGATGTGTTTACACTGAGTATATATAGTGACTCTGCTGTTGTAAAATCCAAAGTTCTTTACAAGGCTTTTGCCATTCATTCACGCACACACACACCCCCGATGCCAGTGAGTTTCACCATCCAGCTCTCAATTTGTTCCAGGTGTTATAGGTGACCACCTAGGGATGGGCATCGACCAAACCAAAATGTATGTACGGTAGGGCTGCAACTAACAACTATTTTGATTAATCTATCGATTATTGAAACAAATAATTGACTATTCGGATTATGAATGGCTAAATTACAGAATGTGTCTTATTTAGCTATTAGCTTTTAAATTAAACTTGATTGCAGGATTAAATTAAACTTGTTTTAGGCATGTGCTTATTAACAGTCACGACAATAAAATGAATACTGCTTTCAAAAATAGCCTACATCTTCTAATGAACGTTTCTGCTGCAGCAACAGAAAGTTCCACTGAAATCAAGTCCTGATCTGCTGTTTAGTGACGGAGCAGTTTAAAGGCCAGTACTGCAACACACCGGGACAAACTGACACTACAAAGAAAGGAATAACATCATGCATTACATCAGCCGAATTTACAGGGGGGTCAATAATAATAATAATAATAATAATAATAACGTTTATACATTTTCCCCTAACTCAACAACTCACAAAACGCCGTGATTTTTTTAAGGAAGTTTGGGGCTGATTACCCGCTGTCTCCCACATTGACAGGAGAACTGTTTTCTCTTCTTTAGAAAGTATGAAATTGTCCGATGTTGTCTAATCTTGCGCACTCTGTAGCAACACATTCTCCAGCTGGGAACGTCGCCATGAGCCATACATCGTTTATGATTGTAAAGTAGGGCACATCTGGAATGTGAATGCGGCAGCTGTGCATAATAATTATGTCTATTAATCTCAGCGCCTTTAACAATCAATCAAATTGTCCAAGGGAAACTATATAGAAAACATTACAGCTCATAGCGAGAAGTAACACGGCTTTAACGTGAAGCTAGCTTACCGAGACGAGTCTTCATCATCTACAGAGCAACAACATTAAGAGCCTCCTCCTCAGACGCTCCGGTGCAGTCGCTGCAGTTAACAACCCTTTTAACTGAGTGAAGAGTGAAATGCTGCCACACTTTGGAGGTTTTAGGTTGTGAAGGTGTTAATGCAGCGCTGATGTTGTGCTGTTTTAATAATTTTACTGTTCACAACACTTTAATCCGTTAATCTGACGGTGTTGTTACGGCCCGATGGCGTCATAAATGAATTGACTGATGGACATGATTTTCATTGACTATGTCGATTAGTTGTTGTACCCCTAATGTACAGTATCTCACAAGTCAGTACACCCCTCACATTTTTGTAATATATCTTTTCATGTGACAACACTGAAGAAATGACACAGGTGAGTACACCCCTAAGTCAAAATGTCCAAATTGGGCCCAAAGTGTCAATATTTTGTGTGGTCACCATTATTTTCCAGCACTGCCTTAACCTTCTTGGGCCTGGAGTTCACCAGGGCTTTACATGTTGCCACTGGAGTCCTCTCCTCCACCTTCCGTTCGAGGATGCGCCACAGATCAATAGGGTTTAGATCTGGAGACATGCCTGGCCAGTTCATCACCTTTACCCTCAGCTTCTTTAGCAAGGCAGGGGTCATCTTGGAGGTGTGTTTGGGGTCGTTATCCTGTTGGATTACTGCCCTGTGGCCCAGTCTCTGAAGGGAGGGGATCATGCTCTGCTTCAGTATGCCACAGTGTATGTTGGCATTCATAATTCCCTCAATGAACTGTAGCTCACCAGTGCTGGCAGCCCCAGACAACAACACTACCACCACCCACGCTTGACACCATCTGAACCATATAAATTTATCGTGGTCTCACTGGACCACAGGACATGGTTCCAGTAATCCATGTCCTTAGTCTGCTTGTCTTCAGCAAACTGTTTGCGGGCTTTCTTGTGCATCATCTTTAGAAGAAGGCAACAGCCATGCAGACCAATTTGATGCAGTGTGCGGCGTATGGTCTGAGCACTGACAGGCTGACCCCCCCCCCCACCCCTTCAAACCTCTGCAGCAATGCTGGCAGCACTCATACATCTATTTCCCAAAGAAACCTCTGGATTTGACGCGGAGCATATGCACTCAACTACTTTGGTTGGCCATGGCGAGGCCTGTTTTGCGTGGATCCTGTCCTGTTGAACCGCTGTATGGTCTTGGCCAGTGAGCTGCAGCTCAGTTTCAGAGTCTTGGCAATCTTCTTATAGCCTAGCCCATCTTTATGTAGAGCAACCATTCCTTTTTTTCAGACCCTTAGAGAGTTCTTTGCCGTGAGGTGCCATGTTGAACTTCCAGTAACCAGTATGAGGGAGTGTGAGAGCGATGACACCAAATTTAACACACCTGCTCTCCATACACACCTGAGACCTTGTAACACTAACGAGTCACATGACACTGGGGAGGGAAAAATGGCTAATTTGGCCCAATTTGGACATTTTCACTTAGGGGTGGACTCACTTTTGTTGCCAGTGGCTCAGACATTAATGGCTGTGTGATGTGTTATTTTGAGGGTATACACTCAATATACAAGCTGTCCACTCACTACTTTACACTGTAGCAAAGTGTCATTTCTTCAATGTTTTCACATGAAAAGATATAATCAGATATTTACAAAAATGTGGGGGGTGTACTGACTTTTGTGACACACTGTATGTATATGAAGCTCTGAGTACTGAAAACTGCCATGCCCTTAAAGCTGAAGGTGTGTTCGGATTCATCCAGTAATCTCGCTTACATATTCTTTTATCAGATAGGTTCTGATTTCAAACTAAACTTGGCCAAATCGTTCCAGGAACTAGAGGAAGAAAATGGAACTAAAAGCCCTTTATGCCAATTCCTGTTTGTGTTTACAGTCATTAAGAAGTTCATAAAATATGTTTTCACTGTTGAAAATTATAAGAAATGTCTGCTCCTTGTTGTAACAACTTGCAATACTCAAATTACTTAAACAGTAGTTCACATTTGCAATAATACTAAACACTTGTTAATGGAAATCTATTTCGTTTTTGTGATAACCTGCAAACTGACAAAACAGGACAGAAGCTCATACCACAAGCCACCTTGGTGGAGGTGGTGGGTGAAACCCTAAAGCCCCGGGGGCCTCATTTATAAACGGTGCGTACATTCAAAACAAGACTGGAAACATGCGTACGCCACTACCCAAGCAAAGGTTGTGATCTATAAAAAACAAACTTGACGGGAAAATACGCATCCATGCAAACTCTGAGGCATGTGTACGCACATATTGTTGTGACCGTTTTGTTGCACTGTTTTATGTTGTGTGGGTCACGTTAGTTACAGCGACTGAGAGGTGGAGAAGCTGTGTATCTGAGTATTGGTAAAACCACAATAAACATAAACTGAATGTTACGAAGAAAACAGCGGCAGGTCCAAGCTACTGTAGTGTTAGCTGGCTGCTCCTGGCTGCATCACTATAGGCTAACGATAGTAAACAAATCGCTCCACGTTTGTTTTTTGCCGTTACATCCTTTCTTGCAGGCTAAATCAACAGTGGTACACATAATGTGGAAAGCTAACGTTATATAACTTTGCACCGGATAACAATAGCAACTATTCGGCGTTAGCCTGCGAGCTAACGTGACTTTCTCTGTGTTTCTCCAGCTTTACTAATGCGCACTTTGTTCTTACTCGACATCATCTGAACCTGTTTGGTCTGATGGGCTTCAGCACATAAATCTTTATTGTTGTTTTGGATCCTTACGTGGAGCCTGTGTTTTACTGTGAGCTGGTAGTTTTTTGCTGTTAGTGGAATGCATGTCGTTAGCTGCTGTGTTGTCGCTGTAGTCTGAGAGGCTCGGGAGCGCGCACAGGGCTGAATCCGACCCGGAGACCTCACATTAAAAGCAGAATAGTGGCTGATGCAAGCAATGGAGAAAACAGGCGTGTGCTTCATTTCTAAGTGAGTTTTGAGCCCACTGACAATAAGGCAATGAAAATTTGATTTATTAAAATCAAACACTTACATATAACCCCTTTAAGTGTGCAATAAAAATATAATTTAAGATCATTTTCAGCGTAAAGAAAAGTAACCATGATTTAGGATAATAAACACAAACGGAGATATCTCCATAAGAACGCCTCAAATGCGTTGCACAGTTTAATCGGGAATCATATTAAGTAAAACTTGCATTCAGTGCAATTTATTCTCTTAAATAGGGTGAACATTAGGACCAATTACATTTAAATTGATGCGTTTTCAAAGCGTCAGTCGAGCAAATACGGGGGAATCCAAATTAGTACATGGGTCATCCCGTCTTGTGTATCCCTCTCCACCTCCATCACAACTCATTAGGGATGCACAAGCATTATATGTAAGTGTGCGTTTTACACACCAAACAACATGCCTCAGCTTCACTAAGGAACGTCAGTGTCACACTGGGTTAAATTTCTGTAGCTTGTGTCAGAATTTACCATTCTTTTGTTCATGCAGTCAGTACGTATTAATATTAATGAGGGGCATTTCACTACCATTTATAGGCAACTAGAAGAAGATGATACTTTATTGTCACATATATGCATTGCGATATTCATTCTCTGCATTTAACAGATCCCCTCAAGGGAGCTGTGGGCAGCCGCTGTGCAGCATCCGGGGACCAACCCCAGAAATTTATCAGTGTCTGATCAATGGCACCGACTGCAGAACCTAACATATTTTTGATGGGTGTTTAAAGGGTCGGACAAGGAGCTCGCTCACATATGCCACATTTCAAGTTGATTGTGATTTAAAAAGAGAAATTGGCGTAGGACGTGCATGCTCACCGTTTTATAAATCTGTATATTTTTGTGTGTACGCACTTCCTGTATTTTGTACGCATGTCTTTTCTACGTACAGTTTTATAAATGAGACCCCAGGTTACCTCTTGCAGTAGGTCAGCTTGTTCAATGGCTTTGAGGACACTCTTCTTAGACGTGTCCTGGATCTCTCCTCCCATCAGGAACTCATCTAGAATGAAGTAGGCCTTCTCAAAATTAAAGATGATGTCCAGCTCACATACCTGCCCAAACAAACACAAATCAGCAACGCAGTCCGCAATGTCTTCACATGTTCTTGGGGAGTAAAAATTCTCACTTAAGTCTGTAACCTTAGTTTAGCATTGTGACAAAGCACAGAGAGAGAGCAAACAGCTCAGGAACAACTCGAGAGATTCAGAGATTTCTGACTTACACTGCCAAAGTACTTATCCAACAGCTCTACAAAGCGGTGGATGACTTCCAATGTGATCAACTCATTGTCCTGCTCTTCAATTGCACAACAGAAATACAAGCTGGCATACCTGCATGAATACATAAAAAACACCATAAAAATATAATAACATCTGGCATAATCAACTCAGAGGTGACTAAAACACACACGCACACACATTTTTAACAAAGTAAAAACATGCATGTAGACATATGAAGTATGTATGAATCCATGTCAATAAGATACCAAAGTTAAATGTTAAACTACATTTACTTTTATTGCCAATAGATGCTGGCTGAAAGGAAACATCAGTTAATGTTTTACTGTCACGACACTCGTGGGCCGACTGTGTACATGCACGTGACTCTCATTATATTTGTGTATTCTGCATGTGCATCATTCATTTTGCATTAAATAAATGTCTTACTTAGATGTATTCTCATGGTGTGTATGACAATTATAGCCTTCTCCTTTCAGCTGCAACTTCAATGCTGTGAAACGGACTTCAGATAAAAAATATAATATCATAACTTAAAGAGGTTAGCAGGCTTACTTTCAGCCTTGTACAAAAAGTACACGGCTTTAGCAGGGCTGTAACCAGCTATGAGGTCACCGTGGTCTGGACCTCCATAACTCTATGTAGGCTATAGCCTATCAATAAAATAATTTGAATAAAAACCACTGATAACACAATCAACTTAAATGAAGGCTTTAGGACCAAGCGGACGCAGCGGATTATACCGTCGCAACCATCATTTCAACAAACAGGGTGTAGCGTCTCCCCATTAAGAGAGACACTGTGTGCATTTACGCACGAGGCACAGTAACATAACTTCATATTTAAATTTCCCGACACGCCGACAAGATCGGTCAGAATCTAATGTTAATTAGCAGAGTTTCCTTTGTACTGTGAAGTTTATAAGAACAGTTTTTAGTCTTGCTGCTTAAATCTCCCAAGGTATTTTCTGTGGCATAACTGCGCTCATGGAAATGTTTCAATGACTGACAGCAGCCTCTCTAATCATGAAAGTACAGCATACAGCAATACAACCCAATAAAGAAATCACCTGGAAAGTTAAAAGGACCGGTAGAAGTGGGCTAAACATTTGAGACATATTTAGCCTAATGCATGTTGTGAAGATTAGCATACTAAGGTTTACCTGTTTGCACTACCTGATCATAGCTTGTGTACCTCTTTTATGCAATTTTAGTGAGTCAAGCAGTGGGGAGAGAAATCATGATGAACAGCCTGTTGTCAGCGTGTCCACTGCGCGGTTTAAGCCTTCACTGCGCACGGACACACACACACAGGGGCATTATGTAGCTTCCAGCGGCCACTAGTGGTGCGGTTCTAAGATTGCAACCAGGTGTGTGCTCGTACGCGCTAACATACAGAAATACAAGAATAAACACAGGAACACCAGCATGCAGGCTGTGGCTTTTCTCCAGACATATTCAGGCCATAGGTTCAGGCTCTGTTACTTTAACGTTCCCGTCTCAGAGGCAGATCAACACCAGCGCCGTACCTTCCATTCAGCGCAGCGAGCCGCATTTCAGCTCAATACTCCAGAAAAAGGCAGAGTGACAGCGGCTATAGACAGACAGGGAGAACAGACAGAGCTGGAAACTCAGGTGAACTCCCACTGCAACGTTACAGTAATAGATTTATCAACTGCAGGTTGAACTAATCCATGCTCATTACATGATCATGGATATTATGAGATTGTGTCACACTTTATAACAGTTAGACCGCAGTCAGTAACTTTACTGTAACTAGTGACAGTGCATGGCTCTTCCTCTGTGTTGTTGTGACCGTTTTGTTGCACGTTGTGTGGGTCACGTTAGTTACAGCGACTGAGAGGTGGAGAAGCTGTGTATCTGAGTATTGGTAAAACCACAATAAACATAAAGTGAATGTTACGAAGAAAACAGCGGCAGGTCCAAGCTACTGTAGTGTTAGCTGGCTGCTCCTGGCTGCATCACTATAGGCTAACGATAGTAAACAAATCGCTCCACGTTTGTTTTTTGCCGTTACATCCTACACATGATAGTAACATGGGTGGCGTTAGTTGGTAGTTTTTTGCTGTTAGTGGACTGCATGTCGTTAGCTGCCGTGTTGTCGCTGTAGTCTGAGAGGCTCGGGAGCGCGCACAGGGCTGAATCCGACCCGGAGACCTCACATTAAAAGCAGAATAGTGGCTGATGCAAGCAATGGTGTGCTTCATTTCTAAGTGAGTTTTCAGCCCACTGACTGATAAACATTTTTTGCCGACGTATTTCTTTATATATCATTAGTTTGTGTGGATGTAGTGTATAATATTGGTTGTGTTTGGTTTAATTTTGGTAGGAATTTCCATAAATCAAAAAAAATAAATCTGTAAATGCTCCATATACCTTTGTACTCTTTTCGACCACTCAAAGCGCTTTTACACTACATCACATTCACCATTCACACACATTCATACAGTGGTGGAACGACCACCAGGGGCAATTCGGGGTCAGTATCTTGCCCAAGGATACTTTGACATGTAGCCTGGAGGAGACAGGTATTGAACTGCGGACCTTCCGATTAACGGGCAACCCGCTCTATCTCCTGAGCCACAACTGCCCCAGACACCCTGGAAATCTGGAACTCACTAATATCTACCCTGGATCGAATCACTGGTAAAATCTAATAAAAATCACTGAAAAAGTTTAACGACTTTGCCCCCAAAATAAGTTTCCCAACATGTTACTGTGCATGCGTCACTACTACCACGCATGCGCAGCTGAAGAATAACAGACCCTTACGTCAGTGGAACCACAGGATTGACACATATGTTTCCCGCTTTGGCTAACAAAAGCTTAAAGGTGTTAACAGCATATATATATATATATATATATATATATATATATATATATATATATATATATATATATATATATATATATATATATATATATATATATATATATATATATATATATATATATATATATATATATATATGCTGATCAGAACAGCTGATTTCAGGACGAACTGATGGTGGGAAACCAAGTAACTAAACTTCTTGGTCTAAAATCTTCTGCCTGCTACTTTTTTTTCATATGATATTAAACATCTCTGGTTTTTGAACAGCAAACAAACAATAAATTGCAAAAACAATTGGCAGTTGATTAATTAATTATTCCTAATAAAAATAATTAACTGTAGCCAAAGTCAGGAACTTTTACGTTTCCTTTCTATTGGTTTAATGATGAATACAGTCATTCCATGATCAATATGTTTTGTGTAGGCTATTTGATGGATATTTTTTACTGTTTGAACTATTGTCTATAACTGCACCACAGTAACAATGAGTTAATGACTCAGGCGCAGAGCCTTGAGCTCTACAATGAAACTGACAATCAGCCTGTCATGTTAAATACTAGTGGCACTAACATTTGTATAAGTGTGTCACTATCTTGTGATAATGACAAATTATTAACATTAATTTCATAAATTTTAATGAAACACTTGGCTGTTTGGCTAATGTGCTCTCTGTAAGCCTGTGTCTGTGATATATACACTCAGCCAATGATGAGATAAAGAAGGTGAAACTGGTGCAAAAAGAGATCACTTAATAGACATTTATGGCAGACACATCAGGCTGTCCAGAAGAAACAAGTACAACATTATGACAGTTTATGATGTAGGCTAGCATGTTTACCTTTTATAGACAATCTTGAGGTCCCTCCATTCTAGGAAGCTGCACATCTTTGGTTTGCGGGCGAGCACTATCTGCATCAACTCCCTGACCATCTTCTTCTTGTCGCGCTCAGCTGTGGCTGTGTACCACTTCTGCAGACGCAGCTTCCCTTGCCGGCTGAAAAGCAGCATGAAACGCATCTACACACAGAGAGGGATGGAAACTATTCAAAACAAGTAACAAGTAGTGTTGCTGTTTCTGCCCATCACTGAGAATATGTGATCAGCATTATTGGTCCAATAAAATAATTTCAAACAATGACCTCCTTAACTGGTAAGGATTGTCTTTTTCATTATCACATGACACATCAAGCCACTGATGTGGTTCAGCGATCTGGTCTAGATACAATATAAAGATATTGCCATACTGTTTATTAGGTGGAAAGGGTGTGCGCGCTGAAACAGACTTTCTCAGATTTTCTCTCAAATCAGGTACAGCAGCTTACGCTGCTCATTGCTAAATCAGCCACAAAGCTATATAGCCGTGTTTATCAGTGGAGGAGGGCTAACGTTAATGAGCCGTTAAACTATAGTTTCTGGCCGCCTGTCTGCAGTTATAGTTGGTGTGTCTGAAATGATTAAACCAGAGCTGACATGTAAATAAACGTGAGCTGAAGAAGAATCTAAAATAGCTTCCTGTCAGAGCCGTAATGGCTCTGGTTATAGTTATAATGTTATTTAAATGAAATCTCAAAGTTGTAGACAGTCATTTAGTATTAGATGCATTCAACAGCAGGTCACTGTAACGTTATCATCGACGGCATGATTGAGAACCAGCTGGTGGTTGAGAAATGGTTTCTCATAGCTTTAGAGATAAACTAGATGGGAATATGCTACACTGAATGTAGTTATCAGGGGAGATTATTTGTAAGGTAAAATACACATAGCCTACCCTTATTGGGGATCTTAGTTAGTTCAAGCGTGGTACAAGCGTAGGTTGCCACCTGTGCAATAAGACCATTCGTGAAAATTTAATCACTACTAAATATTCCATGGTCAACTGTTAGTGGTATTATAACAAAGTGGAAGCGATTGGGAACAACAGAAACTGAGGAGCACAGTGCGCAGAAGTTGCCAACTTTCTGCAGAGTCAACTGCTACAGACTTCCAAACGTTGTGTGGCCTTCAGATTAGCTCACGAACAGTGCGTAGAGAGCTTCCTAGAATGGGTGTCCATGGTCGAGCAGCTGCATCCAAGCCTTACATCACCAAGTGCAATGCAAAGCGTCTGATGCAGAGGTGTAAAGCACGCTGCCACTGGATACTAGAGCAGTGGAGACGAGTTCTCTGGAGTGACGAATCACACTTCTCTGTCTGGCAATCCGATGGACGAGTCTGGTTTGGCGGTTGCGGAGAACGGTACTTGTCTGACTACACTGTGCCAAGTGTAAAGTTTGGTGGAGGGGGGATTATGGTGTGGGGTTGTTTTTCAGGGGTTGGGCTTGGCCCCTTATTCCTGTGAAATGAACTGTTGATGCTTCAGCATACCAAGACATTTTGGAATGAGTATGGTACGCTATGGTATGAGGTGATACATGATGCCGAGAGAAATAAAACGAAGGTTAGAAGCTTTATCTCCATAAGCACAAAAAAGGTACCAAAATGTAGCCACATGCCTTCTTCTCCCTCAAAAATGGCAAAATCTTGCTCACTGGAGGTTTAGTTTTTTTAGCTGTGGACATAAATTGATAGGAAACTCTCAGTCGTGTCTCATTCACTCCCTAACTGCACCGAGTTCTCACCCTGTAACCAATTCTTTAACTTGCTATATCTTCCTCCCTGTTTGTAGTGTCGACACAACGTATATTTTTATGCTCACCTACTCAAGCTTTAACTAAAAATACCTAAATGAGAGCTGAAAACCTTTTTTTTTTAAAAACATATACACTTTTTGTATCAACGAAGCATCAAATTGTATCATTACAAGGAGACTCACTGGTGGCATAATTGTTTAGGAATCAGTCTCTGGAGCAACACCTCTTATTTCCAGTTGTGGGTTTGAATCCCGCAACCAGCAGCAGTGATTATTGCTTTAAACTTTAAACACCTGGATGGTGTTTGAACTTAATGATAACAAACTAAAGATGTCTCCTACCTTAAAACACTAAAATGATAGCTGAAAAGCTTTTTTTTAAAGCAAATGCAAGCTCTTTCCATTCAGACCCAGGTTTCGAATCCCACTTCCGGCAGCAGCGATAATTGCTTTCAACTTCACTTAACTGTGTGCAGTTCAGTTCCCGCTGACTTGCTGTGCTGTTTTTCATTTTGTATCTTAGTCTTTCTAAATGCAATCAATGTTTACGTGGATATCAGTGTTTCCTTAAAATAGTTGATAGCTCTATATATTTTACTCGTCAACAGTGGACTGGACCTCAGATAAAACATATATATATATATAAGCTAAACAGAGGAGCTCTAGAAGTGGCTGCGGGGGATGCCAACCCGCGGGAGGAGCGTGTGAGGCCGGCCAGCCGCCCGCTCACAGAGCCCTCTGCTCCCGTCGTCACACATACCGCTGCAGCAACAACGGCAGAGGAAAACACAGCTGGAAAAAGAAGAGAAAGCTGTGTGGATCGCTGGTGTGCATCTCGCATTGAACATTACGTTGCGGCTGTTGTGTATAGCGTCGCTATGACGACAAGCTACGTACTATCTCTGGGTACTATCTGCAATGGAAAACGGAGCAGGGTAGAGTCGAGTCTATCGATTTGCGCTATGGTAGCATTTTTCGGCAAGGCAGCATAGATCGTCAGAACACCGGCAACAGTTCAGTTTAGTCCTAAAAGACGATGCAACTGCGACTCCGTTTGGGCCTGGAAATTCACAATCATAACCTGTAAGTATGCTTTATTGGTTGTGAATTATATTTAAAATAAACACGGCAATGTAACTTCACAGACTGTTCAAGTGAACAGATTTTGAATCTGAAAATGAGCATAATACCACTTTAATGAACTCCTCCTACAGAATAAGTCGGATTGACTTCAATTTTTTGCTGTGCAGTCTTATACCATTACACATTGCACAAATGGTGAGTTTTGGTCGACCTGGGCATATGGAGGTAAGACGAAGCCAAAATCATTGAAAATGGACAGACTTTAAGTCACAAATAGATATTACAACTTTACACAAAACACAATCTACAGATGGATTGATCGCAATTGCAAAACATGATCTACAAATAGAAATCCGTAATTTGTACTTGAAAACTAGAATTTCAATTAGGGCTGAAACGATTCATCGATTAATAAAATGTATCGACGCAAATTCTTTGCATCGATGCTTCGTTTAATCCATATAACTATACAGCACAGAGTTTCGCACGGACATTTACAACTGTCGCACATCGCGCTTACGCTGTGAACATGACGGGATTATGAAGTCGAGGAGGAGAGAGAAAATAGCAAGAGACGAAGAAGAAAGTGTCTAAAGTATAGGATTATAACAAGCAAAAGGAAAACAACCACTCTGTAATGCCACAGTCCGTCCACCGTAAAACGAAACTTATGTCGCCTCGGCAACAGCACGGCGGTACCTGGTCAGCAGACCACAGACAAGGTAACAGTAACTTTAGCATTTAACTGAAATCATGATTTATTGTTGAGTTGAAGGCTAGCCAAAGTAAGCCGCAGTCCTCAGCTGAAAATGTGCACACGTGCGTTTGTTGTTCTACGTTTTTGGGCCGTGAGTTGTAGCCTCACAGTCATGAGTTAACTGGGTGTCAGGGAGCTGCACCTTTTTACTCACCTGCAGCTCTCTCTGTAGCTCAGACAATCCCTGCTACCTGCGTGTGCTAATCCATCCTTTCACCCAGATTCTTTGTCTTTATAATTGGTATTTTTATAATAATACGGCGCCGCCGCCAAGCAAAAGTACTTCTTAAACGACGCATTGATGAATCGCTGAATGATCTATAGAAGCTTCGAATACTAAAATCATCGTTAGCTGCAGCCCTAATTTGAATGAGTGCAAGTTATAGGTTTCAGGTGAAGATCCTATTCTGTTTGAATATTGTGTTATCTTTGTTTTTAGAATTTTTACAATATTGTTTCGCTGTGGTGATAAAACAATGCCATAATCATTGAAAATTAGTCAAAAATGCATATTACAATTTATAGACACAAAACAAGATCTACAAACAGATTTAAATTCTGCCAACTCCTCAAGCTCTGTAAAACACCATCTGTAAATAGATTAGCAGTTTTATCTTTAAAAATTTGTGTCTCTTCAACAAACACGGGCTAAGCATCAGCGAGACGGCTGGAAATATTTTAAAATCAGACGCTTTCTTATATACAAACATTACTGGATGTGCAGCAACATTAAAGTTTGCCAACACCAAAGTCACTATATAAACTCAATATCAGTTCCTGTTATTCACTGCCTGCAGGTAACATTACCTGGTAGAGAGGAGCAGCTGGTTTGTCTCAGATAGCAGCTCACTTTACTGAGTTGTGCCAAATATTAAGCTACGTGTCAAACTAAGCTGAGCAGCACCACAGACAGACAGCTTTCAATTTCGCTTGTTTGTAACATTTGGCTAATTGCCAAGTTAATTGTAGCTGTGCTTATATGAAACATAGACATTCAAAAGGATTTGTGTGTCAGCATCAGTATTTTTACTGAAGAACTTCCGTTTTCTCACTCATACTTGTTAAAGTAAACAGGAAATATAAAACAGCCACACATTAGAATACACATAGTGTAGTATTAGGTTACCATGACAGAAAACCAATTGTAACTTCTACAGCTAACAGAAACACGCTCCTGTTGTTGATCATCCTGATATATCAGGCTTGTATATCTCCATTCCATATTTATATATTTCCACATTTATTTACGTCGACTGTAGGCTTGTCTAAGTGCAGCACCTTATCACCACAGCAAAATCCTCATTTGTGTAAAACACTACTTGGAAATAAAGCTCCTTCTGATTCTGATTGTATGGGGACAAACAGGTAACAGGATGCGGTGCTGTCCTGCTGCCGTCTTGACGAAGTGCTCCAGGATGATTTTTTGATACGCTGACAAATTGACGTATTTTCATAATTCATAATGTCGATGAATCACCCCAGCCATTGAAAAATATCACACCCCCTCCCTTCAGGCCTTCCTCCATTGCCACTCCCCCAAAACACTTTTTCATGTGCAACGAGTGCACAGGCAGAGTGAGCGCAGGCAGGCAGGCCAGCCAGCCCTCCTTATTACAGTCCTGCCACACATACTGAATTATATTTAAGGTTAATTTATTTATTTATTTTTAGCATTAACAAATGTATTGAAATAAACAAATTCAGTTTCCTGTTGTTAACTTCCTCCCAGGGTTTAAACCAGTCAGGGAAGGTCAACTTCTTTGTATATTGTTACTTTAAACTGTTTAAAAAGTTACTGATTTAGTTCACAGTTTTAAAGATATTAAATCAGTTTTATTTACTGTAAATAGTTATTTATAACAGCTGCACCGTTGACCATTTTATGGCAATAATGACAAAGTGTTTAAAATCAGACGATTGATGGCGTTGAGAGCTCTACACTATGAATTCTGGCAGTCCAGATTCAGACGTTTAAAGACGGTCTGTTTAAACAGTGACACATGCACATATGTATTGTATATCTCAATATTAAGTTACCTGTGTTGTTTAACCAATTTAGAAAATTGTTTACATTATAGCTGGTGAAATTAAAGACCTTTTACATACACTGGCTACATATTCAAGATGAAATAGGATACATTCTTTTTACTCAGATTGACAGTTACTGTGCATTCTAATCAAATAATTTATTAATTGCTGCATATTAAAGCTATAGGTTCGCAGGCAGTTAGAAACGGGCAGCTCCATAACGGTCATTTACTGTGGACACCGACTAAAACCACGGGCTAAACTCTTTACCTGCGACGAGGAAACAATTAACATTACAAAAATCTTGTCATGCTCAGTTTGAACATTACTGAATGACATGAAGACACAGCGAACATGAACAGTTACACGGGCCATATGCTATACGCTATCTGAAAGCCCTACCATGTGTCAGATAGACAGGACTATTTCACACCTTGTGCTGTCAAACGGCCTTTTAGCTTGCAGGCCATGCTGACAGAAGCCAGGTAGCGCAGGTGGACACTTCCTGAAACCATACACCTTGTTAGCTTGATGTGGCATTAGCTTAGCGCCTAGCTACTGCCTTTTTAAGTCAAACAGAAGCAGTAACTTACCATTTTGTCGGATTTTCTACACTAAGGCGACGTTACTAACGACTTCTAGGTTATGTCTGTACTGCCCGGTCCAACGTAAACGATTACACCGCAGCTAATGCTGACAGCCCATGCCTGTGTCAGATCCTGTCCAGCTGCATCAGAACTGTACCCATTCCTGCTCCACTGAGTTCCGCCTCTGGTGAGCATGCGCACTGACATATTTTATTTCTTGCCCTGAGTTACGCCTGTCAGGTAACAAAAGGACAGTGGAATTGGAGTAAAGCGTCTGTCCTCGTGATAAATCCCGAGCTAAAAGCTGAATTCTATTTCCTCTATACGGCCCCCTCAGTCATGTCATGTTCCCAACTTTGGCTTTGACCAGGGAAAAATATGTAGTGGAGTTAAGATGAACCAATCCCAGCTGACATCGGGCGAAAGGCGGTGGGTACGCCCTGGACAGGTCGCCAATGATGACTGAACATGATCTACAGAAATGTTTTTAGATGTAAGTTAAACAAAATGATTGAGATGTAGGGCAATAAGTTTAGCCAGTAGAAGTCTGCAAATACATCATTCTGCACAGTGGAGCTGAAACAACAAGGGGAGTAACAATAAGTGAAACACATTTTTACATTACAGAGAACAACCTTCTGCTCAACGTCAGCAAAACGAGCTGATCGTTGATTTTAGGAAGAAGGAGATAAAGACACACACTCCTGTCTACATCAGTGGAGCTGAGGTGGAGCAGGTGAACAGTTTCAGGTTCCTGGGAATCACAGAGAACCTGACATGGTCGTCTCACATCTCCACGCTGGTGAAGAAAGCTCAGAAACAACTGTATTTCTTGAGGAAGCTTAAGAAGGTCAAATTCCCATGCCAAGTTCTTGTCAGCTTTTACAGAGGAGCAACAGAAAGCATCCTGACTGGAAACATCACAAACTGGCATGGGATGTGCACGGCCCAGGACCGGAGGGCTCTGCAGGGGGGGATTCAAACTGCTCAGAAGATCATTGTTACCCATGTGGTGTCCGAACAATAATGCTGCCATGATGTGTTGAGAAGAAAGCCGCTTGACACTGTTCTTGATCATAAAAGTTTACTACATCAAGGAGTTCAGCATCAATTACAAGCTCTGCAGCAGCTTGGAGAGAGACCCAGCCCGATGGCCACTCTGTCTCTCTGTACATCAAACATAGCTTATATAGGACATGTTTAGGTATCTGTTAGGTACCATAGAGGGGTCTGAGTCTGCAAACTAAGGCACCAATCCATATAAGGGCACAGTCCTATAGGATAAGAGTAAACATCTGTTAGACACCATATAAGGGTCTGAGTCTCCACATAACCACTGACCTCTACTCTCCCCTTAAAAGGTCACTAATCCTCTATCCAGCTGCTACAGTGTTATTTTAAACTGTTATGGTCAAATGCACATATGTTATACACCACATCCATCACGAGCATCAGTGATATCGGTGAGGTGAGGTGTCTGCAGAGCCCAAAGGATACTAAAGGACAGTACCCACCCAGCCGCATACCTGGGAAGAGATGTAGAAGTTTCTGCTGCCGCACCACCAGACTGCAGAGCAGCTTTTCCCCCTAAGCTATCAGACTTTTAAGCTGAAATTCATCCTCAGCACTGCTTCATTGACTATAGTTTATTTCTGTTTACCATTTTCATAATTGCTTCTAGATTAATGTATATTATCTGCTAAGTAGCAGAAGGGAGTTATCTAATTTGTGTCCACTTGTTTAATCCTGTTATTTTGTGACACAAATACAGATGATCCCCTTTTTGTTTTCCTAATAAAAATTTTAATTGTACTGAAAGCTTTTTAGATTATATTTGATAAGGGCTTCATTATGTGTGTGTAACGCATGGTCAGATCTACAATACAGCATGTTGTAGATTAGGGAAGTCTGACTGTTTGGACACAAGAGGTCAGTGTTTTTACATTACAGTAATTACAGAGACTACAGCTTTCTAAAAACACAGTATTTTAATAAATATTAATACTGAAAGATACAACTTTAACAAAAAATATACATTACAATTAACATTATAAAAATAGATAAAAATGATTTTTCTCACACAGTCATCATCATTTTCTTTCTTACCAACTACAAACATTCAGAGAAATAATTTAATAGTAAACATATAAACTCTGCTTCTAACTGAGATAATAAAATAATATCTGTCAATCCTGTTTCCAATGTCTGTGTGTCACTTTGCCTCAGTTTTCTTGTATTAAGCACATTTTACATAAACCTTCAATGAATTTGTCTGTAGAGTCAAAAGAAGTCATGTGTATGACTTCTGTATGACTTTTGGTCATCATGTGAAGTATAAGCAGCAGTAGTCAAACACAGTGGAATGAAGGCAGGTCCTCAGAGTGGGTTATTGTTGTTGAGGCTGGTTGAACTGACCCATGAAGAGAACAGCACCTGAACACAGGAAGGGAAACATTTGACACACCACACACTACCTGCAATGATCAGCTGAACGGCACTGTAAAGTGGGATTTCAAATTAAAACAAAATAAGAGTGTTAACCTGTGAGTTTGTGCTGGATGAGGAAGAGGAAGGGTCGGTCCAGAGTAATCTCCTCCACTGCCGTACGAGAAAACATCACAGCCGCTAACAGAGGGAAGAAATTAAAAACAGGTCAGTCTCTCTAAAGTGTGTGGGGGCCCTGTGCAAAATGTAGCTGTGGGCTCCCTTTATTGTTTTTGTCTAGATGCCAGATAACAAACTGTACTCCTGAATACAATCTGGCCCCATGTTTACCTTGTCTCAAGTTAGTTTGTTGTAATTTGATCAAACAGCAAAATATATTTAAGAATATGTGCCATATATGAATACTATTATCAGAAATAATAAAAGTCTTAAAACAATTTTTGACACAGGGCCAAGAAAGGTTACAAGAAAGGGCCTCAAATAAGGCAATTATAACTGATTTAAGATCCTTAAACTCTTAAAATTCATCCTCAGCACTGCTCCATTCTTTATTAATTTATATTGTCTACTATGTAGCAGAGGGGAGTTACAAAACACAATTTCACTCTAATACTTGTTATTTTGTGACAATAAACCTACTTACCTACCTTATTGTTTCATGTTATGGTGTATATTCTTAGACCAGTTTGCACCAACCAGTTACCATTCATTGTTCTACCAAATTAATAAAAAATTACTTCCATTATGGAGAGAGATAAACTTACCACAACTATGGCTCAGTATTAGTATGTCACTAGTATATCTTATAGTATCTATTCAATTCTCATAGTATAAGTAGTAAGAATAAATGTATTTTATCAGGAGTTGCTGGCTTTGACTGTAGCTTTGACTGTACCTGTTTAAAAGATAATTCCATTTACTACAACTATTTATTCTTTGTGGTTCTCGCCACCATTTTGTTTGATATTATGTGACTCAGCACTTCTGAATGTTACTATTGCTGACAAAAATCATGGCCAAAATTATTAAAACTATTAAAAGCATGTGTAGGAGTGAGTGAGTGAGTGCACTAGAGAGATTGAGTTTTGAGCCTACCTGTTGCTGCAGCTCCCTTGGTTCCTTGCTCATTCACCTCAATCCTTACTCTCTGCAGAACCTCTGACACACACAGCCTCTCATCAGCTGGAGGGCAGAAACACACACAGATTAGATACATAGTTCAACAAAATGCAAAATCTAATTATTGTCATTTTTAACATGGTTATGTAGTGTGGAAACCCAGGAAAAACCAAGGAAACCCCACAGACAAGTAAGGGCTACAAAAATGTGCAAAACAAGAACACAGAACGCCACTATGTTTCTATGTTTTTATGTATAGCCTACGTGCTATGAGGTGAAGGCACATTGTCCACCACAAAAAAAGTTTCTAACTAACTGGTCTTCCTAGAGGTTAACTTACTGGTGATGCGTGAGAAATCAGCAGTAGCCAGATTGAACATGTCTCCCAGACCCATGTTAAGCAGAGTGGTCTTCAGATTCACCTCAGAGTTCAGAGTAAACCTGCAACAACAACATACCCAAATCCTCAGTTTTCATCCTGGTTGCACAAAGTTTCTACGTGTAACTGTCAAATCCTTGCAATTAATAGCACTCATGCTCTGGTTGGGTGGTCAGAACATCCTGCAGACAGTAATCTCTGTACTTAATCCATTCCCTGTGCTTCCTTTTCCAATGTTGATTAGTGTATTTCTGTCGGAGGATTGAATTTAACCCTTGTATACAACTAACAACTGCTTTCTACTAGCCAAAAGAGATGCAAGGTAGGGGCAGCCAATTAGCTAACTGTAACCTAAACTAAGCTGGGGTGGCTGGCTGGCTGTGGCTTAGCTGTGTGGCGGGTCTGGAGTTGGTTGTTTTGTGGCTGATGGGAATATTTACAAATGGCAAGCCTGTCAGTATTGTGGAACCGATGTCCCAAATAAAATATAGGAACATTACAGATAGTAACATAATTCTAAATATGATTATAATTTATTTTCCAGCATTCACTGTTCAATTTAGCATTGAGTCTTGTGTATGTCTCATAACTGTTTCATTACTGTGCCTCTGATTGGCTTAGACTGATGATGAGATCCCGACATCAGCAGAACAGCTGGGCTGAGTTCAGCCCTGATAAAACATAGCAAAACGTTTATTTCAACAGAAACACAGTGCCTTCAGTACCCTGTTGTGTACCAAGTGCACTGCAATTTTCTGCCTTTTTAACATGGCAACATACCTACATAACATTGCCCTGCATAACATTGCGCACCATTTTGAGGAAACATGTCATTCTAACTGTGAACATAGCAAACCAGTGCAAAACGTTTTGAGATTGAACTCTCCCGTGTTGTTGTCTTAGCAAGGGCTAAGTGAGAAACACCATTATCAGGCTTAGCCAATCAGAGACAGAGCAGGGTAGGTCATGTCTTTGCCATAGTAGGATTCTGAGAGTTTTCAAAACTTACTGTATAGCTGGACTACGTCATTTTACCAGTTCAAACTTACACTCCGCATTAACATGTAAAATAATTAAATGTAAGTGTGGCATTTACATTTTAGTACATGTAGATCTCTTTCTCTGCACAAAACTCAAAATTTGTTAGTCTGCGGCACAAACACACAGCATCCATACACTTTACGATGTACAGCTAATTGTAATCTGTTAATATGTTACATCTGCCAGGCCAAGTACATCTA